AGATTTGTGTAGTGATATTAATCTCTCTGGGTAAAATTGCAATCGTTGCATAAAATCACGTATATATACATATGTAGCTGGATGCTAGCTGTCATAAACAACCATCCAGCCTCCTGTAAGTGTGCAATCCCTGCAACCACCTATAGCCTTAGGATTTTCGGTTGTTGCTTCAAGAGGTTCAACTAATTTTGTCTTTCGTGTAGAAAAAATTAAAAATTTTTGGTGATTGCAGTATAACCACCTGTAATACTTTATTCAAGGTTCATTTCTGCCAGAAATTCATGGGATGTGTTTCTGGTGGAAACTTCAAATGTGCTGCATCTCCACATTAATCTCTGTTTAATTCTAGTACATTCCCAAATTCTCTAAGCTTTCTTGTCAGATCCTAGCACTTTACTTTTCCAATGGCATCATGTTTTAAAATTATTCCAAAAAATTTCCTTGTTGGATCTTTTTTTAACCACATATCACCATTACCTGCCCTTGAAAACTGTCATGTGTCTGCTTTAAAAGGGCTTGCGACTGTCTTGAGTTATATTTTTTCAGGGAGAATATATAGATTACACTATTGGAATGACTCTTGGGATTTCAACAATGGCAGGTTAGCACTGAAGCCCTTTTTTCTTTTTATCTTCTATTCCTTATTGACTATGTATCCATTCTTCTCTAATATGCTTTTTTATAACGATAATTATTATATTCTCTGGCCCTAGATTACATGGCTAAAACTTTAAGGCTTGTACAGACTAGTCTAGAAATCACATCACCAAGGCACAATTTTGAATTTTTATTTCTTGGTGTTACAAGTACACTATGGTCTATCAGAAAGTAGTTACATGTAATACTTTGGTTACTCAGGTTTTTTGTAATCTGTTGAATGTATTTTATGTAGGTTTTAATTTTTTAAAAGCTGATTATTAATAAGTTGTTTGTTTTGCATCTTGTTTTAAGCTGCTGCCCTGGGTAATATTGTGTCTGATGTCTCTGGAATAGGGTAAATTGAACTTCAGTTATTTACATGTAGGTTTCTGTCTTTTTTTGTTTGCAAAAATATTTAATTGTGGCAATTTTATAGCATACATTTTTGTACTTCAGCGTAGTCCATTTCTCTTTTGTATGCAATAAGATTTGGCTGTGACTACATGTACTTTTATGATATTATTTTTAAGTGTAGTTTGCATGATCACAAATATTTTTTTGAATGAATTATTTTCTCCTTAACTAATAATAATAATTCTGAGATTCTACAATATAATAATATAAGTAATAATATCTTTATTAATTACGGGAACTTCTTAGGCTCATATAAGTTGAAAGTTATTTTCTAAAACATTATAGACAATCCGAATGACATGATGGTTCAACTAAGGTTATCTTTGATACTCATAAGGGTAGATATATTGAAGAGAATGCTGTTGGGAAAGTGGATGCTTTTTTTGTGTATCTTAGATTAGGGCTACTGTACTAACAATGTTATTAGGGAACTTAAGATACGCCATTTTTCTCTGGGGTATGGATAGTAAACATGATTTCTGAGATTTTATTTGTTAATGATGTCGTTTTTCTACCCAGTAGCTTAGCTGTTTCTCCTGTTAAGGGGCAATCACCCCGGTACCCAAATTAATTGGCTATTGGTAGGGTTAATTTGCCAATGCCCTCCCACGGAAATGGTGTATCTTAAGGTCTCTATTGTTAAGAGCTCTATCACAATGTTCTTTATAAAAGTTAATTTATGGATGTGTTGTGAAACAGTTGCTTTCAGGCTTGTTCGAGATTATAATTATTTTTAAAATCAGGTGCTATGTTAAGGTGGCAATGTAGCCATACATTCATTGTACCTGATAATGGTAAAATGAAATATAAAGTTTATAATATTGATCGAGATATGTGTTTGAGTGTCTGATTACACGTATCTTTCTTTTTATTTCACAGCCTTGCTCATTATGTTGAGGCTGCAACCAATAGACTTGGATTTCAAAGTCCTAAACTCAGTTCAAACCAGGCGGAGATGCCAAGAACAAGATTTGTAACGAATTTGGTGAGGCTTCTACAGTTATTTACTTTACACAAGTCTTATATGTACTATGTAACTTTTTGTTACATTACTATGTAACAATTTTTTTTCTGCACCAGTATCACAGAAGTCAAGGGTTTGAATCCCATGCATGCCTGAATTTTTTTTTTCAGGCTCTCTTTTCGCAACTGCAAAAGTTGCGTCTATAACTGCGATGATCTGCTTTCATATAACAATCTAGTGTAGTATCAACTTTATTTTTTTGTTTTTTTCACGTTACAGATTTGGTTAACAATAATATATAGAAAAAAACAGTTTATTTATATAGCGCCTTTTCTGCTGGCTTCTAAAGGTGCTTTATATGCTATTCAAAATCTTAAAAAGTAAACTGAACTATCTAAAAACTGTAAACAGCCCACAGGAAAAGTCCACACTGACTAAAATTAATAAATGATTCAATAAAAAGCTTTCTTAAATTAATAAAAAGATATGTGTACCTCTTAAAAAGTGCTCTAGATTAGCACGCCTCTCTCACAAGTTAAATTCTGTTTAAATTGTAGGGAAGAGCATTTGGAATTGTTGTGGGATGTTTTGTTGGAATGTTCCCATTGCTTTTTTATGGAGATAAAGAGGAACAAGAAGAAAAAGACAGTAGAGAGACAATAGATAATATGAACTAAAACTAGATTAGTAAAATACTTAATAAGATTTAAAACCAGTTCATTATAAGTCCATTATTCACACACCAAACGTCACGGGCATACTTTGATAAGGTAATGATAATCACGTGACCAGTACAGTCAGTTCAAGCGCAATTTATAACATTTCATTAAAATATATATAGTACAGTTAGATTCATACTCTTGTATTTCTTTCCTGTTCTTAAAAATTTTCGCGCTTTCAGCAACTTTTTGAGGAAAATTTTTCAATTGCTTAAATAATTTTACGTGCAGTAGACGCACAATGTATTTATGCGACAAACTGCATACTTTTTAAGCTTTCGGGCTTTCCAACTACAAGTAAACAATGGGTTAACGTGCACGTCACTCCCCAATGAAATGTATAACTCAGGATCTTCATGGACTTTATCATTGTTGTCAAAATTATTCCTCAAGTAATTTTTATTGATTTAAATAAAGTTGATGCAGGGGGTTTTAAGAAAGTGTTATACTGATGAGGGTTACTACATGTAGTGTCTGTAGTTGAGTTGTTGAAAAGTTTAAATTATAACTGTTACCTTGTTTCACAATCATGAGTCAATCACGCCCAGATACGCAATTTGCATTGTTGTTGCTGCAAATATGTTTTCCTAGTTTAGGCCTAAATTTACCCTCATATCCTTTGTCTTTGTAGGATTTAGCATTGTCTTTTTTCATTCCTTCTGGCCCCGTCATCTCTAGCCTGTACCAGGCTCTCAGATAGTTGGGAAAACGCACTTTCCCTCCGTACGCGCTTTCTCAATCCCCGCGGACCCGACTATCTCGTAGCCTGGAACAGGTTGCCTGTGTCGTAGACGCCCTAAACCTTCTGTATAGAGCGTCCGCGAATTAGTGCGAAATATTGTGGTCGAGTCCCGCAAAGTCTGCAAATGGACTAGACGAATGCGTGGGCCGACTGCAACGCAGGCTAGGGACAGGCTACATCATTTCCATGCGAAGATTCTCTTGAGGGTCTTAAAAAATAAAAGAAATCCAGGAAAATGGTGGAGTCATCTCCTAGCACTCAATATTATCCATTGGTTTTTCAAACGAACCAAGCTTGGTTGTCCAATAGACTCGTTGGACGTGGTGTTCCACTCCATTAAAGAGAAAAATACGGGAAAAATTATATGCTGGAAAAATGCTTGTGTTAATTAGCCCTTGAATGTAGTTCTTATAGTTTATGCATGTGAGTTTTGATTTCTGCAACGTTGTCTTACTGATCGTCGCGCAGCGACTTTTTCAGTATTAATCGCTGTCAAAATTGCAGTCTGTTGAAATGATTCGGAACGCAGTTCTCCGGTAGCTATCCACTGGTTGAACCTCTATCCGCTTAGATAAGTCAGGAGCCCTTGAACTCCTGGATAAGTCAATTGGTTTCAGTAACCCTTATTCAGTGGATAGTGATTTTTCCTTTGGATAATGCTATTCATCCTTTGAACAAACGCGGGTATATCATTTTTTATTGGGTGGTCAATAATAAATAAATTCGTACTTAATTATTCTCTCCCCTTATGGAGCCTCTCAGGGATAATGAGTCAATAATTCAATTGGGACGTAATGTGGTCAAGATTCCAAACTGGTGTAAGAGGCAATCAAGCCGGCTATTTACAAGCGTGGCCGGGGACTTGAACTCGGGACTACTGAGAACAAATCCAGCTAGCGGTCAGGGCGGGACTTGAACTCGGGGCCTCTAACCCCTCGGCCAGGCTGCCTCGGACACAAACATATAATGAAATGAATGGCAAAGAAACCCTTCCCCTCTTACCTCGCCTCATTAAGTGCCACACCCTTCAAAACGAAAGCTGGCTTAACCCTTTCACTCCTTAGAGTACCCAATGTAAAAATTCACGAAAATTCTTAAATCTTTTTTTTTTTTTTGTAAAATCCTAAGAAATAAATAGCACCATGCCAAAGGTCTGCCCAAGAGGTTTCAATTGATTGGTAACACCATAGGATTTTGTCGACAGATTTAAAAGTTAGAGTGAAAATTCCGGCGTACTTCCATGACTTCGAACCTCAGTCTTTTTCTTTTTTTTCATTTGTGGTCTTTACTTTTCATTCTTCACCGAGTGTCACCCACACTATTCTCAAAATATGCAGTTTTATGTATCGGTCAAATCGAAGCTTCAACATGCCCCCCCGGGCAACCCCCCGGGCATTTGACTTTTTTGAAAATTATTGTTCAAATTCCCCCTCCCCGGGCCAAAATGCCGTTCAAATGCCCCACACTATGGTCCATTCAGGTGATCAAATGCCCCCACCCCGGAGACGTTTCACAGGCACAAAACTGACAGAGGGACGGCGGAAACGCCTTCAGTTGTCGAACAAAACCTTTATAAATATAACAAAACTGAGAAACACTGTTAGCGTATTTACTAAGAAGAAAAGTCTCGTGCAAAGCGGCCGAAATCGCTGCTACAAGGTTACAGTAGGTCAAAGTAGTTGACCTGAACTTTTTATTTTATTTTATTTTATGTTGTTGTATTGAATCGCCGGCATATGTATTGTATTTCATTGTATAAAACACAACAATAAAATACATTCATACATTCAAAGCCTGAATCCAGTATTAAGAATTTTAAAATTTAAATACTTCAAATACAGCACAAAGCTGGTTTAAGCCCTTTCCTCTAAACCAATTGGCCACAAAGGCACGATCTTTTCCACGAAAATCCTCTAACACCGCGTCCCCCATCATAGCTCGCCACGCCAAAGATTTTACATGAAATCGAGGGTTCAGTTCAAATTCCCCACCCCTAAAGCATGGGGATCAAATTCCCCACCCCCTGGAAGACTCTGATAATCAAATTCCTTCCTCCCCGGGACGGCAAAGGTGTCAATGTTGAAGCATGTTGAAGCTTCGATTTGACCGATACATTAGTTGTAATAAGTTCAAGGAGTTATAAAGATTTTTAGCTTAGTTTTACGGGTACCAGATGTATTGTAGTCGCCGCCTTGTTGAAGGATATAATTTACGGTGTCAAAGATAAATTACCAATCTAAGCAGGTACACAGATAAGAAACACTTGTTCCTGTCAAATAATCCGCGGCTTTCCTACAGTAATTAATATTTTATCTTAGTAGCAATATAACTTGCTACTTCGTGAACCGAAACTAAGACAATTTTCTCCCTATTCACGAAGTGGAATTAGCGATGGAGACTCGCCCTTTGTTTATATCTTGACTCCGGTGCCTTTTTTTCCTTGACACAAAGGTCAGTGATTTAGAATGTTTTGAACGGAGGCGGAATTTTGTGCGGCGGAAAGCAAGGATCTTCGTGCCACAGAATTGACAATGACTTTGGTCCGAGGAATAATGTTTAAAGTCGAAAGCGTGAAGGCACTTTGATGAGCACAGTTTAAGTTTCATGGCACGCGCAATGGGTCATTGAAAGAAAAGAGGGAAGACTTGACAAATGATTGAGAATTCGTTAGCCAAACAAATTGTTCACAGGTGCACGGTTAGGTAAAACAACTGGAGCCGGTTAAAAGCAAGAAGTGCACTTTGAAACGGTGTCTAGTTTGGTCGTGGCTTCCCACGTGGAAAATTCCAGAGAGGACTGGTGGAGTTTAAAACTCTTTACTCAATGGGAAAAGGAGTATTAATATTTGTATTAGCGGTGTTAACGACAGCATTACTTATAGGAATTGGAGTCGAAATACAGAAGTTCTCTCAAGACTCGGCTCTCAGTCTTGTTAAACATGACATAGTTGGAGGCTATGACAAGCTATATGATGAATATTTTCCGCGATATTACCACTCTTCTGGCCTCCTTTCTCTACCTTTTGATGACATCGTAGAGCCATTCGAGGCATGGTTCGCTGGAGAACGCAACATGAGCAGAATTGATTATTATTACGGTACGTAAACTTAAACATAACAATTAAAATGCATCGCTTAACATTAGAAATTGCTTTATAGTGACTGTGTTTGCTTGTTAGATCTCTGGAAGCTACTTTTAAGTAATCTCAAGTGGTTGTGAAGACCACTTGAGATTCGTAGGTATATTTATCAATTTTATTTTGTTTAGAGAGGTTCAAGCTTTCCTTCAAGGCTGATTTTATTTAATGTTTATTTTTTCCTGTAACATTTTGGTAGCTGAGTTTAAACTGTGATATTTCATTTAGATAAAGTAGGTTTTGTAGTTACAGAGTAAAATTATTGGCACTGGGTTTTATTTTCGCGGGTTCAAATTGAACGATTCAAGCGTTCTCAACTTTGTTTTATTTTTCAAAAAGTATGAAATGTTTAGTTCTTAAAACTGGAACAAAGAAAACTCTTAATTTAAAAAAAAATTTCAACGTGAACCGGAAATTTGCAAATTAACCCGTTAAGTCCCAAGAGTGACCAAAGTCAATTTTCTCCCAACAAAATCAATACACAATCAAAGGAAAATGTTGTGAGAATCAATAAAATGATCACCTGATGGGAAAAGCTTTGATCTGCCATCAAATTCTCTTAACCAATTCTTGCAGGAAATGTATGGAGATCAGTCTGGAGAGTTTGTATTTGGATACTGGGGCTTAAAGGGTTAACGCTGTAAGGTTGTCCTTTCTCAAGAGAAGAAACAAACTCGAACGTATACCGATAAAACCAGTCACAAATATATGCATTTGTCTAACCATATATCCTATATAAGTTCTTGTTATTTTTTGTGATTGGAATTCCCTATATGTGTATTAAATTTCGCGAGGTGTTTATTCGCGTGTCTTTAATTTCGCTATTTATTTACAATCGAGAAAAACGCAAAATTAAAGACCTGCAAAATTAAGTACTAACAGGGTAGTTTCAATCTGTGGCCATACATTTTCTTTAATTACGCTGTGTGGGCGGTGAGATGTGGAACAAAGTTAACACCTAGCCAAAACCTGTTTTAGGGTAAAAATAGTTGTTTTTTTAAGGTTTCGCGTACTGTATTTGATATGATTTTAATTTGCCTTTGATTTTGATATTTATAATTAAACAATATCAAATAAATGCAAAGAAGATCATCTCGTCAGTTGCGTGTTTAATCAATTGCGATGCTCTTCTTTGCATTTATTTCTTCATTCCGCGGTTCAAATAAATGAACTTCATATATTCATGATTTCATCTTCATCGTTCCTAGGAGGCTGATAAGTGCAACCGCTGGTACCACAGAGGCCAGGGTTCCAATACTAAGTTGCCTACACGGCGTATGATGATCTTTGATGCACTTATTTCTTCATTCCATGTTTCAACAAAATGAACTATATAATTTCCCCAATTTCGTTCCCAGGGTCTCTCTAAAAAGAATGACCATTGCTGGGAACTAGGCCCAGGAGAATTGACGGGATGTTGTTCATTACCGTTCTTTGGAAACCTGCGTTTGTTAATATTAACAAGCTTATATCAAAGGATCACCCTTCGGCGATATCGAATATAGATATATTTTTTTCATTACTCAGCTATTGAAAGATACATTTTCATTCTTTTTTTACATTCATTTAATGATTATTGTTCAGGTATGGACAAGACAATTCAGCGTGGAGACCTGGGCAAAAACGGAATCCTGTTTAAAATTGTACCCATGCATTATGAGATGAAGCCCTCCAATCATAACGTCATAAGTTGCTGGTATAAACCGCTTCCAAAATGGCTGCCGCGTGCAGGACAGAGTGTCATACCAACAAACCTATCCGAGTTTAAGGTTGGAAAAAATGATATAGTAATGCGGAAAAAGTAGCACAGTTTTCGACTTTGTCAATAATCCAATACATCCTTTTTTGGACTGAAGCGCTTCTAAAATTTTCTATCGTAATATCAACTTGGTGAAATGACCTTCGAAGCGAAAATAATATAATATATAATATAATATATGTCCTTGAAAGTCCTTGAAAAGTCCTTGAATTTTTAGTCCAGAAAAGCATACGAATTTTGAAATATCATTCACGATCCAACATTGAAAAATTAAGGAAAGCCTAAGAGGAAGTTATTTTTACAACTTTTAGATGAGTTTGCTTTTTGATGCTCATTGTGACTGCGGTTTGCTTTCGATGTTCTCAAGTCACTATTTTCATATTGCACCCCCTCTCTTTTTCTAGTCCGCTGCGGTCGCCTATAGCGGTGGCAGTAACTTTAATTCTGGGGATTGATACAAAATTTTCACAACGTGTTGTACACCCACCGGTTTTTGTAAAAACTCCTCTGGGATGGCCATGGTATGTGTGTCGTATGTAAAAATATATATTCAAATTGCTTTTTTATCCTTTCAGTTTGTTTCCGAAGAAATGCACCGAGGAATGCCTTGTCTGAAATACGAGAGGAAAATCAAAAAATTTAACAAGAGCAACACGTACAGTTTTTATATTTCCAAAATTAAACCACACAGGCCTCTTCGATACGAGATGGTTGGATACGATGATATGCTGACGTCACATTATGATCGCTACATCCTTGACTACGTTACTTTCGAGCCTTGGAAATTTAACAGATCTTTGTTCAATTTACCTAAAAGTAGGTTTTCATCAAAAAGTGATGCTTAGTCTCTCAGTTTTAATTACTGCACTAAAGTTTGTCCTTTTATTGGTCCTGTCTCGGGGCAAGTCTGCTAGGTTAGTGACAAATAATCCAATCATTTCAGTTAAATACAAATCATGAGCTGATTTCATTTGTCGTGTATACAGTGTGCTTTGAGGTTCTATATTGAGGTATGGCAAAATGGGAAACAAAAAAACATGCAACTTGTCTTGCAACGTTGCTGCAACTATTAAACGAGTTGTGGCGCGTTTTACCACCCACGAATCAAACCTTTGTTGCAACAATCAGAGCTGAGTTGCTCAAAGCATGGTTAGCTTTAACCATTGGTTAAGCAGTATCAAAACCAATACCTTGTCAAGGTATTAAACGCTGGTTAACGCTAACCATGCTTCAAGCAACTAGGCCCAGGTTGTTAACAGGTTTGAACGAGGGTGGTAAAACGCGCCCAATTGCTTTTCAACTCCTTTTTGCAACAAGTTGCAAAACAATAGACGAGCGTTTTTGTTGTCCGTTTTGCCGAAGCTTTTAATTAGACGGTTGCTAGTCTTGTGAACTGTTATAAATGTGCACAATCAAAAGAAGAGGTCTCAGACTTTTGTTGTGCTTTTTTTAGTACTAAGATTCATTTACCAATGATGGTAAAGCCTGCTTATTGATCTTCTTTTGTATTGAAAGTTCATTTCTTCCGGTGTATACTAGTATGCTGTCTCGACAGTGGTCTCTAACATAATTGTTCTCGTTTTCATTACAGACTCGAAATGTGAAAAGAAAGCAAAGAAACTGCGGTCTCACTATTTGGCGAACCCTATGGCTGAATACTTGCACTTTGGACATCACAAAGATCGTGAACTTGAAAGGTCCTACAAAGAATACAGAACTAAACATGCTAAAAATTACGCTACTTCAAGAGAACATGAACAACGGAAACACATCTTCAAGCATAATCTGAGGTAATTATACAAACTTGGTAATTATCGCATAGCCGCTCTTTAGTACGTTACTAAACCAGACCTCCCGTAAGAGCTGACAACAGAATTAATGAATTAGACTTCATCAGAAAAAAAATACGCGAACGCACTCTTCGAATTAAAAGGCAGAGAACCGGAGCTCAAAGAACGCAGACGGGATTCTAGTCTCTCATATCCTTAGTGTACCCGCTCTTTCCCGTAGCATCTTATCCTACCCAGTCCCTTTCCGCTGGTTACCTCTGGTTAAGCTGATTATTCATACTTGGCTCCGATGCTTAAGAGCTTAAAACAGAACGAACACATTTTGTTCATCTCTGAACCTTTATGTGATGTCTTTTGTTTAATTATCCTAAGCCTTGGAGCCAAGTTGGAATTTTACTAAACCGAAATCGGTTCAGTAAAAAATGTTCTTGTATAAATTTTCAGGGAAAGGTTGTCAGTTTTCATCAACATTATACTATTATTGGTGGTTTGAATCGCAGGTTCATTCGTTCTAAGAACAGAGAAAATTTGAAGTACAAACTAGCTCCAAATAATTTTGCTGACATGACAGAAGAAGAAATAGATTTACACCGAGGACTTCTTCACGATAAGAAAGAAAAAAAGAACCCCAAGTTATCAGAAGTCCTGTCTTTTAACCAGTCATTGTTGACATCTGGCCTTGTTCCCGATGAACTAGACTGGAGGGATTATGGTAAGCATTTATCTTCTCATATTCTCTATTAATTAGGAGTTAATCAAGTTAGGCGAAACAATCTTTAGGTACGCTGCAAGAAACGCCGTAATTTCAAGTGGCGCTTTATACATACATATAGAGTGTTTTCACATGACGTCACGGCGGCCATATTGGTGTCCCAAAACAATGAAACGGCGGCCATGTTGGTGTCCCAAACCAATCCTTTGGGAGTTGAACTCTTTTCTTATGCAAACGCTTTCTTTTGTTCCAATAAATTTGCATAGATACTGGCCACGTGAGTGAAAACACTCTATATACATACATACTTTATTGTTACCTCCCTAAAGGGGCTTTTCAGGAACAAGGAAGGTGAAGTTGTATGTAAAATATTAAAATGAAAGTAAGGCATGGAAATAAAACACTTCAATGATTGTCTAGCTACTTGAAATTACTTATCGCTTTATTTCGTGCTCGTTATCATTTCATTTTTTTCTTTTTATGTTTGTTGTTTTGTAAAAAAATTCAAATTTTAAGTTATACTTTATTAAATAACGATAAAGGTTGAACCGCTGTTAATGATCTCAAGGCAGTAATTACGTTAAACTACATAATAAATCTATATTTGCCCTGTTATTTCCAGGTGCTGTAACGCGTGTCCATAGTCAAGGCTTATGTGGATCATGTTGGACTTTCTCTGCCGTGGGAGCCGTGGAAGGAGCCCATTTCTTGAAGGTAAAACTGGTTTCGCTTGATCCATGGTAGTTATATCTTTCAGTTAACTATTTTAAATAGCCTGAGAAAACAGCTGACATTGGCGACTCTACCATTGGTTTCCTCGTTAAATGACGTTATGAGGAACGAGTGCAAAAATTCTATACTGATGATCCGTCACTACCCAGATCTGGGTAGTGACGCGTCATCAGTATGGATTTTTTTTGTTCAATCCTCAGACGTCATTTCGCAGGGAAACCAGAGGCATTGTCGCAGAATGTCGGCTTTTTCTTAGGCTATATTTTCAGCGGCTTCTCATTCTCATAAAAAGTAAAACCGACTGAATTTATCAAAAAAATCCACCTTGGATGATTTCGCCTCCCACGCAGACGTTCTTAGGGGTTTGGGGCAGGAACGCGCAGCGAACCCCTAAGAACGTCTGTGTGGGAGGCTATGGATGATTAGACCGTGCCTTCATTCCTGATAAGTGCTTCGTCCCGGTTTTGTAACTTTACCTACTCATGCGCATTTTCCAACTGACCTCTAACAGACTGGAGAACTCGTTGAGCTTTCGAATCAGCAGCTGATTGACTGCTCCTGGCCCGCAGGGAATCGTGGATGTCGCGGAGGATTTCAGGATAGAACACTAAAATGGGTGAAACGCAATGGCGTGGCAGTGAGGCGCGATTATGGACCTTACCTTGCACAAGTAAGCTTCTGTTATTGTTTAGGACTTTTGCAATTATTTAAAGGCTGACAATATGTCAATTCCTCACAGGACCCAAATTCTCTTACGATGCATAAACAGAAGTCACTCTTTATGATCTGCCAGCCAAAATTGCCAGTGGACTCTTAATTTGAGGCAAATATGCACTCTGCCGTCCGTCTCAGTCTCTTTGATTTACGGTAAAACGGGCAACGGAAACGTGCAACTTGTTTTGCAAAATTTCGAGTTGAAAAGTGATGTTGCCGGTTTTACTGCCAACGAGTCAACCTGTCTCGCTACAAATCAGGTTGTTGCAGGATGCGAAATGTTGTTGCAAGAAGCAGAACGACTCTCTTCTTTCTGTAACAACTTTTTGCAACCTGCAAGAACCTGAATTGTTGCCTGATAGGTTGGTAAAGCGCCCAACATCCCTTTTCAACTCGTTTTGCAGTAATTTTGCCAAACAAGGTGCACGTTTTTGTTGCCCTTTTTCAACGAAGCTTTATGGGTAATCCAATCCCTTAAATCTCCATAAATTCCCTTAGTAAACGGCTTGCGATAAAAAAATTTAAATTCCTCAAGTTGAAAGCAACGCAACAATTTTGTCGTGTTTTTTTTTGTAGGAGGGCTTCTGTCATTGTGGTCACTCCGATAACTGTACTATTGCTCACATTAGCGGCTTCTCTAGTGTAAAGAAGAACAACTCGCAAGAGATGAAACTCGCTCTAGTCACTCACGGTCCTATAGCATCATCTGTAAACGCAGATACAAAGACTTTCAGGTTTTACAGCCACGGAATTTATGACGACCCCAAATGTGGTAAGAAAATTATTATTGTTGTTTAGTTAAGGAATCTGACGAAAACTTCGTATCCTTATATTGTTACCACAAGTACCCACAACCAAAACTCGTTCATCCTGCTGATGAACGGTTCGGTACTCGATAGTTAGATATTTGCATGAGCAACAATCTTCTATGGTTTGTCCCCTTTAATCTTACCTTGCGCGTTTGTGAGTAGGATTATGAATTACAGTCGAACCCCACTTTACGGACACCAGCTCAATACAGACGCCTCATTATCACGGACAGTTTCCTTTGTCCCTGGGGAAGGAAAGCCCTCACATTTTCTTTAAATTCAACCCGCTTAATACGGACACCTTTAAGGCGGACAACGGACACTTTTTTATGTCCAGTGTAAACAGATTCTCATATAAAGTCAACCTCGCTAATGCGGACACTTCATTGTCCACTGTGTGCTGTAATTGAAACCTTTCTTTTTTGAAGGTACAAACCCTTCAGTTGACATAATGACAATGTTCCCAGCGCTATTGTACACCAGATAGAATGAATTGTGGACGACAATTTTGGACTATTTTGACATCAATCGAGTTTTCCAGAGAACGGTTTTTAATTACGTAATGTATAATGAGCGACTTTGTCTAGACTTTTGAGTGTTTTCATTACATAATCCGAGGAATGACGGTTTGGTGAAGTTTAGAGATGTTTAGTTTGACGATGCTAGTGTCCTGTTTTATTTTTGTAGTATTTTGATCAAATATAAATGGTGCATTTTAACATTGTCCGCTTAACACGGACATCCCATTGATATGAACACTTTCTATGGCCCCTTCAATATACACCACGACAAAGTGCACTGGAATATGAGGAAACTGAGTGTATTTTGTTGGTTTTACAGGCAAAAAGACAAACCACGCTATACTGACTGTGGGATATGGCTCTTATAATAAGATACCGTACTGGGTCATCAAAAACTCGTGGGGACACCTGTGGGGAGATGATGGCTATATCAAGATAACCATGAAGGATGACAGATGTGGGTTGCTTAACGGGCCATTACTGGCTGTAAGAAAGGATTGGGCGATGACTGAGTGCCCATTGAAGACTCTAAAAAAGGTTCAACGACAAAAAGTCAAGTCTTTTTCTGAGGAGGAACTTACTATTTTGCCTTTTTAAGACGGTCAGCTGGTGATAAACAGAGTTTTGAGGCAGATGTCTTTAATGTATCTCATTTGAGATGCAAGGGATCGAATGCTCAAATCAAAGGGTACGTAATTTTAGTGCCCAGTACGCCAAATATTGGTTATAATGGAAACACGCCAAACAAGGCAAAGCGTCAATATATCTGAAAAGCTTTTAACGCGCTTTACACGTGTCCATGGAACTGTTCTTAGCACTGAACAGCAGGAATACCGAGAGTATCTACTAAATGTCTGAACCTTCATTCAGGCAGTGGCAAATGCATGCAGCAAGTGTACAGCAAGCGTGCTAAAGTGTCGGACAGGTGCCAAGTGCAGAAATTACGGGCAAAGAATGGCACTATTGTGCACTGTTTCCAAGTTTGGAAACTGTGCACAGCCCGTACGTGCCAAGCCCGGGAAAATCGTTCAAGCGTTTACAAGCTCGAAAACGTACAGTCAGTACCAGATGTGGGAGTACATCTGTGCGTGGAAAGCCGCGACTGGTGATGGGCGTGTTGAGTAGTGGAAATAAAATCGAAGCCTTTATATATATACTGAAAGTCAGGATCCGCGTTTCGAGAAAGAAAGCAAGAAAAATGAAAGTTATTACTCTTATTTTCTCCTATATATGTTTGCAAACATGTTTTAGTGAGTGTCAAGAGCCCTCAGCTCTCAATAACACCGTAAGAAAAATCTTACTGTCGTAATCGCTAAGTCGAACAACTGCTGTCGTAACAACAAAAGTAATGTCAGCTCAAAAATAGACCTTTTTCATCCTTTATCATTCACTATTTTCTATTCGTTAACTGATTGTGAGGCCTCATTTTGATTGAAAAATCTGTTGAGGGCTGATTAGCTTAAATATAAAAGAATGTTGAATGGTCGTAAAGGACTATTAGGGTTCGAATTCTTCTGTATTCTATAGATGAGATAAGTGGAGAAATTGTATTAGTCAGGTGAAGTCATTATAAGAAGCTATTTTAGCGCAAAACGAGGGAAAATGTACTTCATAATATAAAACACATAGCACCTATCAATAGAATCATGTATAAAATTGAATTTCTAAAACTAACGCGGGCTTATAGGTGTTCTTTTGTTGAGCTCATCAAATCGAATTTTTGACCTCTTGTAGTCAAATGGCGAAAGCTTAAGGTTTGTTACATTAAGTCTTCTTTCAACATCAACGAAGCTCTGTTTCGTCATTCTCCTGAAAGGATAATCCTCACTCGCGTCATCAATTTCCGTAGCGTTCAAAGAAACAAAAATAGGTTCATTCGATAGTACTCCGCACAAGTTGTCCTTTCTTGCAATTTTCACAAAACCTTCTTCGCCCCAGAATTTTCCCCAAGAGTTCTTTACTATCCAATACGGAGTGCCATTTTCTTCGCCAAATCCAACCACAACAACTCCATGATTTGTTTGTGGGCCTGCAGGAGAGAAACAAAACTCACTTACTGTTGCTTTGCACAAGCGTTGTACCGAGTCAGTTAACTTAAGCTTCTTTTTCAAAGTGAGCGCTTGTGGTCGTTCTCATTCACCACAAATTGAATTTATTTTTAAATGAACGGTTGTGCTCCAGGTCTTCGTTTTAATAAAGAGGCTCCGAACAAATCAGAATTGTATTGAAAACAGGAGAGAAGAGAGGCGCCAGAGGTGGACATAAAAAAAACTCCAGCTCTTTTGATGAAGCATGTTTCTGTTTAACTTCAACTTGAGTTCAACATAATTAACACATAGAACTTGAGGTTATACTTAGCCATGCCATAACTAGGGACCTTACGATCCGACAACGGCGACATCCATGAAAACGTCGCCGAGAAATAGACTTTGCATCCTTTGAAACAATTTCGCGATTATCCCAAGTCGCCCTGTTACTTAAAAAAGGGAATTTAGGTTGGAAGTGAAGAGAGGGGATCGGACCCGCGCCCAAGTTCAGACAGAGATGGTAGAATTTATCGTCTTGCCGCTACCGTTCTTAGGTAAACTTAAAATTTGGCCATTTCACGTCGTAGTTGTGCAGGGATAGCAAAGAAATGGACCAAAAATTGTGATGCGCGTGCAAAGTTGTTGTTTTGCTCATTAAACCTGTTGCTTTTTTTGTGGTTGCCGTTGCCGTTGCCGTCGTAGTTTCGTAAGGTCCCTGCTATCGGACGGCGACGGCTACGAAAACGTTACTTAAAAATGAATTAACACTACTTCAAACTTAAGCGCGCTTATTCCATCTCATTCAATTCGTCAAATGTAGGCATTTTTTCTGGAAGAAGATGTATCGGAGATCAGGTAAAGAGAAAAGAAAGTCCTTGTCTTGTGTTCTCGTTCTTTGCAAAACGTGAAATGAGGCATTTTGACGCTTTAATCGTACAATGACGGCAAAGAAATGTGCCAAAAAAGTGTGATGCACGTGATTTACAATTCTTACATGTACTTACTACATTCTGTGTCATCGTAAACGCCAGAGCTGTAAAACTTCAAAGACTTCCTACCAACATTGATGGAAATGGATGCTGGACCAAATTTTGCCAGGCCCTGCTTCAATGCCTGTTCATCATTTTTCTTCACGGTCACCAAACGATTGAATTTTACGACGTCACAGCCGTCTTCTTGACCACAATGGCAGTATCCCTCCTGCATGTGATAAATCATGTATATTGCAAATGTGATACTCTGTCATGAATCTATATTTAAAATTGAACTCCAGAGTGCCCTGTCAGCCCTCTATATATTTTCCTGTATTTTGATTCAATGGCACGATTTTTTTTTTTTTTTTTTTTTTTTTTTTTTTTTTTGTATTTTATTTATTTATTTTCTTTTTACAGGTATAGTACAAACAACATACAGATCGAAACATACAAACATTACAAAATTTACAACAACTACCTTAATTACAAAAAAAAAAGAAAATAGAATAAATAAATAAAAAGCTACACTGCACTACACTACAAGGCTTACATAACTTATTCGACTTGAACTTAAAATACAGAGTAATACAGGGAGTATTAGAAAAACGAAGTTTGGATAACAGCTACTGTTGTATTAATGGGGGTAACGGCTTCCATTTTTTATCATGGAAATGGATTTTGTTGTTTCTTTTCGCGATAAAACGTTCGGTTTGAAACGTTTTTTTAAATTTATCGACTAACAGTGGCACGATGCTATTTGATGAGAACGTGTCACGTGCCTCGTGTCAAAACCATGGCCCTAGGGGGACAGACTCGTAACAAATCAGGTTTTGTACCTTGAAACCCGGGAAAGCCATGTACCAGTAGAGTCAAGCAAATAATTATTTTCGCAGCCTTGGCCGAAAAGCTGCTTAGCCTAGGGGAACATAGAGTTTCTGGGATGGGATTGCATTTTGCATGTGGCATATCCCGTATCGTTTGTCTAAATAAACTAAACATCCCGTTCAAACTGAACAGATGTTCTAACAGATGTTCCAACATTGTTAGTTCGCGTTGATGCATCATGTTCAATTGAATTACCCCATCGAACACCTTGTTAAATGGTGTTGGATAACTTCAAAAACGTCAACGTTACGTTGTTATCATGATGTTCTATTATCACACCTGAGCAAGATATCTTCCATAACTTTTACTGGACGCCACTCCATGTTTCTTAGCCCACACCAGTGCCCTCCAAGAGAAGCCGCCTCGACAGCCACTGTTACCAAATCCCCAGCTACAGTCCATCAGCTGTTGCTCAGAAATGTCTATCAGTTTCCCTGTCTAAAGAGGAACTATGGTGTTGAATAGCTGATTCCAAAAAGGTCTCTTTGGACATTGGGAATAGGGCACTGGAAAGCTATGTTTGTTGGTCACTGAAGCAAACAATTGCAGTCATTTTAGTATGCCCAAATGCCCAATCCCCATTGCCAAAGGCGTTCTTTATTGGATCAGCTATATACGTAAGCCAGTGGTTGATCGCACGCAAACTCGATAATAATCTCTTACTATTGTAGCTTTTGTATCAATTTTGTTGTTGCTGGGAAAATCTTTTGCGTCGGAAATTGTATTGTTTCAGACCAGCGACTTGGCTGCCTTGAGATCATCGACAGGCAAGGAATGGCGGTTCAGTATGGCTGTACCGATCAGCTCATCTCAGTTCATTAATTATTCATAATTTATATTACAGCTTAAGTTAATTAGTACAAAGTTTGTGCTGAGGACAGGCATTAATGGTTTTTGGGAGAAGTGTGTGATGGTCAAAGAAGCGTACCTTCCGAGCAGACCAAGACATATACATTAATTGATTTACATAAAGTTGAAATCAGTCCTATGGCTGGGTGTATGGAGGTGCAGTTCGGTGTTTCTGCAAATTATTTACTTTGAAAAAAATATTGTTTTGGTTAGCGGACGTCTGAGATCGAGATTGAAATCAGGGGCACCCAACGAGAATATAGTTCAAAACCACTTAAACATGACACTGTTAAACGTATTTTAGTATTTAAACGGTAGATATAGGCATATTTTTATCCCCTAAAAATTTTTCATCTGTTCGGATTTCCTAGCTGAAAGTCTAGTGATTCGAAAATAATAGGATCAAAACTTACTTTTTCGAAAATTTCAGCCAGAAAAAAGGCTCCCGAAAATTCTAGGTGACCTTTTTAGGGTAAAAATCCGTTAAAAATAGGCAATTATACCATTTTTTACATGTTCGAAAATCCTAGAAGAGGCAGGCAAGCAAGAAATTTTGCAACAAATGTTTCGAAAATTCTAGATCTCAAATCGTCTTCCGAACAGATATTCTTCCGAAAATTGTCGTTGGGTGCCCCTGATTGAAATTTGGCTTCCTTCTGGAACTTCCTTGCCATGCATTGCGGCGTTCCTACACGATTCATGGAGGGATATGTAGAGTCTACCTAATTAATAATATCATTAAGGTTTTAAAGTTAGCTAAAGTTTAAACTAAGTATACTTTAGTGACCTGAATAGCGTAAGCTCCCTCTATTGGTCCAGTAGAAGAAAATGTCCAACAAGATCCACAAAGTCCTTGAGCTTTAGATGGAGTAACGGCACCTAAAATAAGAATGCACAGTCGTGTAATTTGACAGCGTAGCACCAGTGCACTCTACCTCGGAAACACTGAACTTTCATCAGTTTTTATAATATAGAGCTCATTAACGTTGCTAAGAATTCATAGAAAATATGCCAGTAAGATGAAACCGTAGCAATGTTGGCCTGTTCCAGGCGTTCAGAAAGTGCACAGGGAGCCGCGCAAAATGAAAGACGAGACGTAATAATGTTACTTCAAAAATCGCAGCTTTGGATAATGCAATTTTAGCTCAGTTCTCATTTGGTTCCCAGGGTCTCGGTTACAGGCCATTATACCAACGTTTCATGTAATGTGTTAAAAAAAAAAAAACGAGGACGAGTGCTTCATCAGGGTTTCCAAACACCTAGAAACAGATGACAACACGAGGCCGTCATTTATTGGCTGTTGGCTGTATGAATAATTCATGAGTTTGGGAACTTATGTGGAAAATAAGGGCGAAGTCGGACCGACTGACAGCCGGAATAGAACCTGCACAATAGCGATTGGTTATAGCTCTCCGCGGTGCCTCACGCCTCGTTGGTTATTTGCCAAATTGTATCCGGCAACGTAGGCACTAGAAGGAATAATTGTTAAGTCACTTGACAATTATTCCTGGTTTGAAACCCACCATATTCGCGCCAATCCAAGGAATCGGGGAGAGCAGTCCGAGGTATTTTGAATCGAGCTTGAGGTATTTCTTGTTTCTTGAGCGCCTCGTCTCCTCCGCTGGGGTCAATTAGTAAGCCTTTGTACAGTTCAAACTCGTCGTCGGTTACGTCACTGAGCTCATTCGGTTCCAGCGTGAAATTGAGTGCTGCTCTATTATTCGAGTTTATAAATCTGGAAGGTTAAAAAATTATCTCCTTTTAACTTTGGAAAATCGTTTCCCATTACGTTGTCGCGTTTTAAAGTCGTTTTTCGCATTCATTGATCTGTCAATGGCCATTGTGAATAAGACTATCACTTTGCTCTTTACAAAGACATTCTTGATCCCTTGGCCAAAAAGAAAAGCCAACAAAATACCTGCCCCACTATGGCAAACCTATTTGAGCTGGCAACAAAAGTCTTCACAGTAAAGCCGGCAGGGAAATATTCTTCTATGATTTTCCAGTAATAAGTGTTTTGCGAATATCAATGTTTAATAGCGCGAAATTTCAAATCGCTAAGCGATCAACGCCCGACAAATTTATAAACCTCTCTTTGCGGTGAAAAAAGGCATGCAATCAAAGGATTTTCCATACAAAGGATCATGATAATTACAGGTGCAGATTCCCCTTACCTCATGTTATGACGAAATATGTGTTTTCGCTGCTCGTGCTCGGCTGGATCTTGATAAGATTTACTGTGACGCTTCTTGAATTCGTCGAACATTTCATCCACTTCAACATCCTCAAAGTTTTCATGCATAAACTCTCCCATTGGATTAAAGTGGTACCTAGACTTCATCTTATCAAGCTCTTTCAGGCAGCTAGATTTTCCTTGAACAGACAATGAAAAATTGTTGCAAATTTGAACTTGGTATCAATAGCATTTTTGGTACATATTCGTTTTTAAAGTAGTTTAAAATTGAGATTTGCCAGAAACGTTTGTCCAATCTGTTTTTGAAGCCGCCCGGTAAATAAAATGGTTTCACAAAATTGTAACCAATCACACAGCAAAATGACATTAAGGAATTATTTCCAAAACCCAAAAGAATACCTCTCTAAAGTATTTCTAATGACTAAGATAGCTTCACGTCTAGAATGATGAGAATTCAAAGTACTGTCTTGGTAGAGTGAGAGCAATCTTGACTACCATCAACTCTCTCCTAATGGAGCACCTCTATATGGCGGACACCTCTCTTTAGCATGGTACTGATCCAAACGGGATTGACTTATTAAAGAGATCACTCTACACTGGCATATGCCAGATATAGATAGGCTTATGATTGCCAAAAAAGGCGTTTGAATAGGTGGGGCTTTTGCGAAAAGGATCACTTTTCCTGACATTTTCACATGATGTTTAGTGATCAATACATGAACTTTAGGCATTCTATAGCTACTGATGAACAGTCACGTCATACAGTTACAGATATTCCATCAACAAAAAGTTGCATTCTGTCCCCTTCGAATAAGAACAATGATTCTTAGCAGTTTTACTTCTTTCGTACCTTTTGGTATTTTCATAACATCAAAATCAAACTCCCATTCACGGAATGACAAGTAATCCACGATGTAATGATCGTAAAACGAGTGTAACAGGGTATCATATCCGTGCATGATGTAACGTACAGGTCTGTAAGGCTTCTCCCTCGTCAAGTAAAGTGTGTAAGTGTTCTTCTTCTTGAACACAGTCGCTGTCCGCTGTAACTTGTGAACAGGCATTCCACTGTGATACTCTTCACCAAGATACTAGACAAAAAAATATGCCGAACATTTAGAGTGATGGATTTGAGAGTGTTGAAATTCGTCTTTTGCAATATAATGCGCTGGTATAAACGTTTCAGCGAGCGTTGCCTAGTGTAACGCGGTCAAAAGAGAGTAACTGTCCTTCACCACATGTCTCGGGAGGCAACACTTGCTGAATTACCTATCAGCACCGTTACTACGCGTTTGAGGTCAAAAAGTGTACCTTGAATCCTTTTAAGTTTTGCGGCACAATACTCTGCGCCTTTTCTGGGGACCATCGGAATCCAGGCCTATACCAACAGCTCCGTGTGTTTCTGTCCAAGTCCTTTCCTTTACCCCAATGAGCAGGCACAAACTTTATAAGAGCCCCGTATGGTTTCAGGTCGCCTCTTTGAATGGTCTTGTCCATACCTACAGAACGAAACTCCAACATTTTAACAAAGCTTTGTCTAAAGCAGCTACAACGCACAATTTTGGGCCAAGTTCGTACCTAATTTTCAGAGTCGGCACGAACAGCAATAGAGAGTAAGTAGTCTCCTTGTGCCATCACTCAACGCCCCTCCTCACAAACGGCCGGATGTTTGTGGGGTGTAGCGTGACGTGGCGTGGCGTGGCGTAGGAGACTACGATCATAGGAAATTGCGATCTACCATATGCAACCCGGTCTACAAAATGCAGTCTCTATAGTGATCAAGCTGGGATTGGAAAAATTTTCAAAACCTGTTTAGCAGCAACTATTTATATTGGTCAGACGATGATAACGGTGGCAACGCGAAATTGCCAAACTGCAGATTTAGCGTTAAGCATGCTTTAACAGTCTGATTTTAAGATGGAGGGAGTATTATCAACCGATAGAGGATCAGACTAGGACCCTATATTATAAGACCTTAATTTTAGTTTAATCAACTAAGTTGATGAAGTCAATTTGCCACCGTGTAAAGATAGCAAAAACTCAGTGATGTGTTGATCGCTGGGCGTTCGTCAGTGCGCGCAAATGAACAGATTGTCCGTATATCGAATGTTGTCAGGAACAAGGAGTAATATGACAACAAGATTAAATTAGTTGAACGAAAAACGTTCGTTAATTCCGTAGCGGTTAACAGTGCCGATTTGAAAAATATATTTTTCGCCTAAATTTGAGTGGCTCAATCCGAGTTTCTCTTACTACACGCCATGTTAGGGCGAGTCATTATATGGAAGGCTGAAATGGGGTGCGAATGATTCTTAGATAGAGAGAGTGTCATAAACTGTCTACGAATCAAGGCTTTAATTAAAAGGCTGAAACATACCCCACCATCCCCACGTTTTGTTTACGGCCTGAGGTTTTGAGATTTCGACCTGTTATTATCTGTACTACCTACCCTTCCTTTTCATTTTTAATTATTCTAACCATTCATAAACTCTTGTACTTCGAAACTTCTCCCCCTTTCAATTCTTTTCCTCTTTATATAGAACTGCGTTGACCTTGCATTATAAAACAATGAGATTTTTCCCAGTAGCTTTTTTGGGATTTTCTGCTATAAGCCGTGAAACAACATAAGTAAACAAGGAAGCAGGTAGACAATGCAGTACCGGCAGCAATGACACAAACATTGTAAGAACACACTGTAGATTACCGTAATAGTAGTCAATTCGACTCATTCTATGTTTTCCAGCATACCATGCTTCAAACGGTTCAATGATACCATCGTAAGGTAATGATATGATCCCTTGCGCGTGATAAAACTCAGGAAATTTGATCTTTTCCATGACAGATTCATGATTCTCATCTTCCTGTTGAAGAGTTGCGTTCTCGAAAGTTATGTGTGGCTCGTCGTGGCCTCTGTAATCCAGGCCGCTTGTCGTTTTTGGTTCCACGTCAAAGTTATTATTCACCTCTTTGATTTCTTCAAAGAAATAATTTTGTCCGTTACAAGTACGAAGGTGTACTATGCAGACGAATACGGCATAGAGGATCCGCCATAAAAATGTTTTTGATCGACACCACCTACGAGGCGTCAAAGTTCCGTTAAGCATAATGACCTGTATCACACTTGTCAATTCATTGAAGTTTGACGATAAATTCTTACTTGAAGTAAGATTTTCTAATTGTTACCACTTCCGGCTTGAAAAATCCATTTATGTGTTCCTTAATTGCCATAATATCATAGACAAGTGTCCATGTATTTTTATCAAGGCCGATTATTCGTTTGGTGGGAAATATAGGGCAGGATTTGTAAGGAACCTGCAGCTGGAATTTAACTCCTAAGAACAGGTACCAGTTGCAGATCGGGGAGAAAATCAGAAACACAGGGAGCCTTTTGTCCGGCATTTGGTTCATAACATATGATCAGCTCGGTTGATTACAACCTGCGGGTTTGACATTGAAGTTTTGGACTCACCGGAATTTAAAGGAAACTTCTAACTAAGATTTTTTTTCGTTCAAAGGACAAAGGATAACAGGCGATCGTCTAGTTTTATGGGGCGGTTTAACTCTCGCAAGGCAAAACGAGAGGCTCACCTCGTTATAGCTTTATGCCGAACCTGAAAATCGTAACTCTCTTGGTTTGAAAAATGGTCCCCAAATAGCAGAAGAGCAAGAGATGCAAATACACTGATGTGTTATATGGGCTGTGAATCAGAATGTGAAGTCTTGTATTTTTAATTTCTCGAGCTCAAACCTATTATTTTAGGAGGTTGCACGCTGGAAACTCAAGGGTAGAGGAGCGATGAATTTATGAAGTTAAGTGCCGGAGCTCAAACGGGAACAATATGCTGTTCTCTTATTTAGCTCATTGATACAGACCAGAAGACGCAGAAGAACAAATGAACCAAACAGAACGTGAAGTTGACAGGGAATCACTGGGAGAGCCGAAAGGAGAATGGGGACGACTCAAGTTGACACCCAAACGTCGAACTTCACGAGACGAAACAAACTCTTCTTATTTGAGTCAAGTTAAGATCGTCTTTTGGGTCAGACGTCGAACTTAGGACGCGTCGAGCCAATCAACTGAATCAGACCATAGTTATTAGAGGAGACTGGTTATGAAAAGCGGCAAACATCAATGATAAAAACAACAGTGCTGCTGTTTATGTTCAAAGCAACGTGGAAGTGCACAATCCTTTGTTTTCTGTTGGCAAATTGTTACGGAATAAATTAATGCAACGTTTTTATTGGTCAATACAATCAAAATGATAGGAATTCTTTTGAACGTTGTGCACTTTCAGGTTCACAAAAACATATAACAAAGGAGTCTGACGGGTTTCATAACCATGCCACTCAATTAACTATGATCAGACCAAAAAGCAATTTTAATAAATTTTCTCCCGAACGAGGGTAAATATACATTGTCATACAAATGTGTAATTCATTAGTTTAGTTAGTCGCATGTGAAGATCGACGTTTGTCCCAGACGTTCTATCCGTCTGAAGCAGAAGGATAGAACGTGTTGGACGATCCAAACTAGGGCTTTCCACAAGTTGCTAGAGATTTCTCAAAAAGTTTCCCGTAATTTCTCATAAAGTTTCTCAAAAAAATCGAAAGTTGCTGTTTGTGAAAAAAGTTGCTTAAAAGCTGCTCAAAAAAAAAAAACTTTTTGTTACCCTCTTCGTTTATTTGACCTGAGACTGGCTTCGTCCGCCATTTTCAATTTTCTTTTAAAAACCGCTGACCTAGCAGCCCGGCTACATGTATTTTGCGCTCATAATCTGCCCCAGGGAGAAGGATCTGGCTCCTTTTTCACAGGAAATTCATAAATTGTCTACATTCAAGGCTGTTCCAATATCTCAGAATTGCTAGAAAACTAGAGAAATTGCTCAGCATGCAAAAAGTTGCTCGAAATACGAGAAGTTGCCAAATAGTTGCCGAGCAACTTGCGAAAAGCGCTAATCCAAACTCATTCAGACGAACTTAACTGAGCCCAGACGCCGAACGTTTCATGAACTTAACCCACTAAAGTTTGGTTCGTCTCGTGAAAAGTTTGACGTTTGGCCTAAGCCTAGTAGACCTTATTCACGGTTACTGTTACTTTTGCAGGCGCTTAAGGACTGATGGGATTAAGGCGCGAGATGTCACGTGGTTTCTCAGGGGGCAAACACATCTGCCAATATAAGAAATCGCGGTCGAGTTTGTTGATCGTAGACAACAGAAAATGAAGAACATTATCTTAAAGACGATAATGGTAAGTTGTGGGTGGAGGTGATCATTGTTACTTTTTTGGATGCAGTAGCGACCGTAGATTTCGTCACAGAAAGCAACAACGACACAAAACTGAACCGACGAGACGAATGACACTTGGTTATAACTTCAGCGTACACCCGTCCGCCCGTCAACTCTCTGGGGATAGGGGTTAAAAAGACCCAGTAGGGTAGGAAAGGGAGTCCAAACATTGTCGTTTGGCGCAAAATTAACCATTTTAGGGGCAACCAATGGAGTGGCTTGAGTAAACATCTAGATTGAAGTCTCTTGTGTTCGACTTAGGACAAAATTTTCGGAATTAAATTTCTTGGTGACGCTTTTGGTCATACTTCAGGAACAACTTAGTCTCCACCACCTTCCCCCCCCCCGGTCAAAATTTTTACCGGTGAATTGGTGCATGAAAACATCATGTAGCATCGAGAAATTTGTTGCTGACAGCTGAAGCCTATTTTTCATTTCAGAGTTATGTTTTAAATTATTGTTTTGGTACTGTTACCAAAAAATGATACACAACTACTGTAAAAAAAAAACTGAATCGTTTTTGTCGTGTTGCGTCGAGGAAGTGTCACAAAGGGATTCATCGATGACTGCGTGTGTGACTGTTCATGCAGGCTCTTACGGTGGACTATAGGAAAAATCTTCCTCTGCCGCCACAAATGAAATACAGCTGCTATGAAGATTCTTCTGTTATTCAAAGCTGGTTTGTTTATTTAGTTTAATTTGGGTTGAGGAAAGCTTCGCGACAATGCAGTGATGCAGACCTATGGGAAAGAATTTTTTTCCCCAGACTATTACTGCGAATCAACTTGATTTATAATTTTCCCGTTTTGTTTTAAAATCAGTTAAGTGAAAAATTTTTGGTTTTAGGTAATTAATTAGGGAAGCTTCGCTTTTAGCCTTGGCTAAATCTATATATTACTTATTTTGAGTCGCTGTCGCAGTTTCTACCCATCTTGGTGGCGTTTGTTGCCATTTCACCTTTCTTATGTTGCTGTCTGAGGGTCTGTCGCTGATCGGAATTTAAGCACGACAGGGCCTCATTTTGTAAACCATCTTGGGTTCAAATAGCTTAATTCCCCAACTGTGACTTCTGGCAGGGGTAGTTTGCGTACATTATATTAGGAGAGCAAACTGTAAGAAAGAACGGAGCTTGTTTATTTTTCACAACTAAGCTGTTAGTTTTATATCAAAACTAAATTGTCATCAAGTATTTTGACAGTGTTATATAGCTACTGGTTACAACAAGCCACTAGCTAGCTACTCTCCGAGAAGGTCATCTCTCTTTCGCAGAGGTTCCATGAAGCGTTATTGGATTTCCGCTGCACAAAGTGAGTGCAGGGGCGAAAACCGCAAGGTTCTTCCGCTTACCAAACAACTTTCGCGCCCGCACTCGTGCCATGCCCCTTTGAGCCTCTGCGGAGGAGCGAAGTGAAACGGTCGGCCCTGTTTATCTGAACAATAATAAAAACAACATGTTTTTTTCTGTATCAGAGGTAACAAGCATCAGTTTTTCGACAAGCGACAAACAGAAGAAATGGTCATACGACCTGTTTATGACTGACAACGATAAATCGTAAAAGTTCATGTCGAAAAAAACAACGAATAACAGCACGCAGCAAACGTAGTAAACCGCGGGAAAATGGTCATGTGGTCATCTGTGCCGTTAGCCATTTGCCGTACAAAAACCTTATTACGAAGTAGACTCGCTCCTAGCTTCCTTTGTCGATAGATATCATATTTTCGTTGGCTTTAATTATGTACTCCCAAACGTGCTCTCCCAAATAATGATCTCTGCTGCACAATTTGTATTTCAGTTATTCATCACCATCTGTCCTCGTCATCCAGATACTCGTCAAAGTCGTCTTCAATGTCGCTGAAATCAGCTGGATCCTCTATAGCATCTTTTCTCACTATTTTACTCCGATAAGTTTCCTCGGGGTTTGTTGATTCTGGTTTTAATTGTTCGGGTAATTTGGCCCTACGCAACTCTCTCTGTTTTTGTTTCTCCTTTAATTCTTGTTGCCATGGTAACGTTTTGCGACCCTTGTTAAGAACAACAAATGGTCTCTTTTCTACCCCACAAAGTCCGTGCCTGATTTTTATAAATCCATGATCTCCCCAGTTGCGGGACCAAGAGTTTTTTATCAACCAATAAGGAACTCCATTTTCCTTTCCATATCCAATAAGGAGGACAGCGTGGTCGGTGTTATTATCTGAAAGGGAAATACAGAACCAGGTTATCTTGTGCTAAATCCTGACTATGGGTAAGTTTTTTAGAATTGGATTTTTGACTTAAGATTTTCTTGATTTGTTATTGCGAACGGAAATATAAAAGCAATATTGACCCGAATCCGCGCCGGAGGGGTGATGGCCTTAGTAATATTAGGCAGATCAGTTAGACCCTTCATTGATTAAGTATCGTATTTATTTGTGTAGGATACATAAACACCAATAACGTCATGAATACGCATCTTGTTTACCCGCTTTTTCAGGTCTATAGAGTTATTTTTTTATGTTCTCACCAGGGAACCGCCTGACAGGAGTACAATTGTCGGATGGCATACACAACGAAGACCACACGGGCAATGAATCAATCCTTTAAATCCGTATTTTGATTTGATTTGACGAATCCATTCGGAGAGTGGATTCTTTCTACATTTGCTATTGAATTTTAGTAGTTTGGACTCACGAATTACCTCTGACGGGCAAAAGAGTTGAGATTTTCTTTTTCCCTCTAAATCATTGGCTGCGCTGAATACTGACGACTGAGTGTCTCCGTACCCGCCTTGACCCACCGATTACAAGCCGCTCACATTTATAGACCCATGTTCCAGTAAACAAAAAATACATCCGGCTATAACCTCCCCCACAAATATAAGCTCCCCTGAGCTTGTATATTGAAATGATATCGACTTTTTACGACGCTTGAAGCTTAAAAAAGCGGTCAAATTCAAAAAGTATTTTGATCAGTACTGCTATGTAGTAGCTTGTTTTGAAACACTTTTTTATTCCAATTATAAGTCCTCAGAATATACGCCCGCCCCCGTTTATAAGCCCTTACGAAGTTGTTTAAGCCCAGGGCTAATAATCGGAAGTTTACGTTATGTGGGAAAGGAGATTATAGAGACATGTATCCACAAAAAATGTCACTCACTGCAAGTTATATCATCTAAGATGCCATGGCTGTAGAATTTTAATGTTTTAGGATTGGCGTTGATTGATATTGTTGCTGGGCCATGGTAAGCTACAGCTTTCCTCAACGCGTCTCTGTTGTAACGCTTTACTCTTCTGTAACTGGTGATTTTTGCTCCGGTTTTCAGTCCTTTAGTCTTGCAATAACCTTCCTATAAGACAAACAAGGAGCACACAAATATCAGCCTCAGAAGTGGTTTAAAGCCTTTTCAGTATTGTGTTTTTTATATCACACCCCTCCTTTACCTAGTCAAACGGGGATCTGTTGTTCTTTGTCTGCAAGAGACTTAAGGTCTGACTGCCGCTACCCTGAGATGTAACATGCAGGGTAAGCTAATCTGTCCCCTGTAGAGTCCGTAACAAGAAGACTAAAGGTCTACAGCCACTACCCCTGAGGATTAACAAAGCAAGCTGACCTGTCTCCTGTAGTGCCTGTAACAAGAAACTAAACGTCTACTGACACTACCCCTGGGGGGTAACAGACCAAGCTAACCTGTCCCCTGTAGTGACCATAACAAGAGACTAAAGGTCTACTGCCACTACCCCTGAGGGGTAATAGACCAAGCTAACCTGTCCCCTGTAGTGACCATGACAATAGACTGAAGGTCTACTGTCATGCACTACCCCTGAGGAGTAACAGAGTAAGCTAGCCTGTCCCCTGTAGTGACCATAACAAGAGACTGAAGGTCTACTGCCACTACCCCTGTGGGGTAACAGACCAAGCTAACCTGTCCCCTGTAGTGTCCGTAACTTTTAGCGGTTGCAATTCCAAACTTGTGAATCCAAGCAAAAGCTTTCCATGTCCATCCTCCAAGGCATCCATTATTTCCATGTTTAACTCCCGGTGTTTCCCAAGTACAGTCCAGGAGTTGCTGTTCCGATAAATCCACTAGTTTGCCAGTCTAAGACAATGAAATCACACAGGCAAATACGTCACTTAAACAAAAATTTAAAATGAAGTGTAGTGGAGAATTGGTGAAGAATTTACTTGTATGATTAAATAAAGAGTTCGGCGAAGTATTTAATATTAATCACAAGAAGTGTTTATAATTTGAATTTTATTTCTTAAACCCGGTTACCAATTCGTCAATTGGCCATTTCCGAGTTCCAAAATCCCTCGCTTTTCACGTGCAAAATCTTTCTTGTGAAAATGACTTTTATTTAATTTACATGAGACTAAAAAGTCAATTTCATATCGATAGCGTACCACTTAGCCTCGCTTTGACAGAGGCTGGGGCAACTAGGGAATGGCCTATAATTTAAGATTTTTGAAAAATAGTCACTTGGCTCATCATGTAACTTACTGAAATTAAAATGTCAGGATGATGAGGTCTTTTTGTGCACCAAATTTGGATTCAGTTTCATCCTTTCTGCCACGCAAGGTAAAATACTTGGAGAGCGAGGACATTTAATTTGACAATGACATTTGTCTACGACTACTAAAATTCATTTCGTATTTGCTTTCTTGTTCAAATTTATGGATCCCGATGTGGTTTCAAAAAATAGCCCTAATGTGCACAAGGAAACAACAAACTGAAGGATTCTGCTAGTCTTTTAGCATTTTAATATCCTATATAGTCATAGCTTTCTATCGTATCCTATTTTTATGTTTTTTATCTGACTTGTTTATTTTTTAAAGGACCCTACTGACAACAGTGTTTAACACTAATGGTAATTTTATCCTTTTAAAATATTCGCTATTTTTATTATTATTGTTATTATGTGTAGTAAAATGAAGCCATGACGCGAAAATACCCTTGCTAGCAATATCCGTGAAACCGTGCAAGAAAATACTCTAAAACGAATCGTTGAAGAAAATTTGCATTTAATATTAAGTTTCCTAGTGAAACTAGGAGTCCTGATAATTATACAACTTCGTCGACCTGCACTGATTTTTAATATTGCTACATACCTTAATAAAATTTGCTCCTTCTACTGCTCCAGCTGCAGCAAATGCCCAACATGATCCACATGTTGCTTGGCCTTTTGCGGGAATTACTGCGCCTGGGAGAGGAAATGAGCACTTAAAAAAGCGGGTATTCTCGCGGAACTCTTGCACCGACTCGTATTTGCTGTTCATACGGGATTCTTCTGAAACCTAGATTAGAGGCTATTTGACTCAGCTACAACATTTAAAAACCAAAAGAGATCACCTGTCCAAATTATTCACCTGTGCAGTTTTTTAGGCTCTTATCAGGGTTAAGCACTGACCACACTGGGATTAGGATAAAGCCCTGAGAATAGTGATTAGGGTAAATAACTGACTCGAAACGGGTAGTTTCCATTTAGGGTTAGGGCAGATACGGCTTCAGATCAAACCCTTTATCAGCATCGAATTATCACTGGTTTGTTTGTTTAGGCAGTCAACTGCAGTCACTACGTTTTGGGTTCGGGTCCCACTCAAGCTTCTCTATTTTTTCCCTTAAAACTTGAGGAGACTTACACTTGCATGAACATTTGTTGAGAAGAAACTTCAAGGGACTTATAGACGATAGAGTACATTAATTCCGAAAACGGAACGAAACCAATGGCCACAATTTACTTCTGTTGAAAGAACCCGGTAGGAATAGCAAATACAAGTTGGTGTAAGGGTGGCGTACGAATTGCCACTGGAAAAAAAAATGATATAGGATGCTTGCACATAAACTTCTTCCAGGCAGTTGATGAAAACAAGACATTAGACGACTGATGGTTAATTTTAGTCTTTTGAGATGATTGATGGTAAACTCCATTGTTTGCCTCTAAATGTCTTTGTGCTCTCATTTCTTAACTCCGTGCTCCTTGGATTCTATTGAGACGATGGTTTTCTATTGGACAAGAAGTTTTGCGCCTTTATGCCAATAACAAAGAAGTGAGGGTCCAGATATGGGTGGCTAACGCCTTTGTGAAATTTTTCCTCCTTTACTAACTGCTTTTACTAATTGATCATAAGCGAGTCCAGAAATTTTCTTTGCACGAGCGGTTCTTGAGTATGTACAGAAATGTACAGAAAGTAGTACAGTTTTCAACTAAGCTATTCAGTTTTGCCCAATTTCGATGCCCGCAACAGCAACGAGCAGGCTTTTTTGTCTCGTTGTTCATTGTTATTGCAAGTATCCTTTACTCGGAAAGTAGAATCAAAGAATAGGGACCAGTTTGCTTTAATCTTCTCTTACTCTATTTTCAGTTCTATCCTATATTTCTCATGTAAGCGGATGTTTAAAGTCCAAGGCATATACAAATAGGCCACTTCCTAGTTCCAAAAACCCTCACTTTAAAAACGAGGCTGTAAAGTGCACAACCTTTCCTGTGAAAATGAGTTTTATTTGCATGAGAATAAAAAATAATTTCCATATCAAAGGCTGAGCACTTACCCTAGTTTTGGCGCAGAGGCCCGGAGGAAAGCGGAAATGGCCTTATTATTATTATGTTTAACTTGATATGGGACATCCATGTTACGATCAACTAGGGTATCCGCTGAACAGTGTCACCTGCCTGTATCGCGGGTTCAGGTGCAAACCCAATGAGGTTACGTGTTTTTAAGTGTTCTCCGCTGACCAGTTATGGCATTCAAGTGATCACTTGTTAGAAAACCTTACTTTAAGAAGTCTTTTCTTAAAAGTTCCCACAAGAGCTTCGCTTTGGCCATGGCTAAATCTACATTTTAAGGACATAAACCCATACAACGAGGGTCATTACACGTTTCTGGGAAACTGCCCACCTACCCCTCCCCTAAGCCAACATTAACATTTACTTCTCACTTAGGGCAAAATATTGGCTTAGGGGAGGGGTAGGTGGGCAGTTTCTAAGAAACGTATAATGATCGCGAGGAACTTTCTTCTTGCCCATACCATATTTTCTCCAATCTAGCTCCTCGGGAACATTTCCGTATCTGCATTTCTTTATTTTGTTTCGTTTCTCATCATTCCTGTTATCACCACCACTATCTCCATCTCCTGGTTCTTCATTTTCTTTGTCATCATCCTCATCGAAGTCACGTGACCCATAGCCCCCATCCCCTGGCATAAGCCCTTTGTGGCTTTGGAATTCGGAATCTGTCATATCGGCAAAGTGATTGACAGTTAGGTGATACAAATTTCCTTTAATGTTCGTTGAACGGATAAACCTAAGAAATAGGAGAAACGAAAGGCAAATAATCCTTATGTTGCTCACAGAATAGTGAGTCGATTAAAAATTAATCGGCCCAAGTTAGCCAAAAACTACCTTCTTAGTCTCCCATTAAAGGCAATCCCGTTTCTAGAATCCGGTAAATTTTGACTTGTGGAATCTGGAATCCTGGGCTCTGGAATCCGGAAACAGCTCAGAGAATCCGGAATCCAACTCACGACTGGAATCCGGAATCCAAGTTTCAACGTCAAAGAATAAGGAATCCAGTTCCTGGAATCCGAAATCAACGGCATGGTATCCAGAATCCACGACTGTCTTGGATTCCCTTCTGACATTCGACGATTCTTAGGGCTAGACCTCTACCGAGAGAAACTATTCTACGGATTTCTTCAGGGGTTTCCTAAACCTTTAAGCGAACCTAGCAGTGACCTCCACTAAAAAGCAAGTTTGCAAGAATGAAGGAAAGAATCAGCAACCAGAAGTTAGCTTTTCCCCTTTGTGATACTTACGTGGAGAACAAACCTGCGAGGAAATTGGAATTCCCAGAGACATATGGCTGCATCGAGCATGGAAAAACGATGAGGGAAAATTACGAGCCACTCTTTACCCTATCAGGTGGTTGGCAAGTCGTTGTTATGTAGTACCAAGAATCTAGGCTCTTGTCAAAAATTCTTCTTACGTGGCCACTGTTTGGTTAATATCTATTTCACATACCTTAAATTATGTCTAAAAATGTGTTTTCTTTTCTGGTGCTCTACTTTATCGGTGTATTCTTTTTTGTGTTTCCTTCGGAATTTATGGAAGTCCTTATCTACAGGGTCTTCCTCGTGACGAATCGTAGTGAAGTCTCCCATGGGATTCAAGGAAGTGGAAGCTCCATCGCTGTCACGTGATCGCTTGTCTATGTTCCAGCACCATTTGTCATGATGCACTGTGAAAAACAACAAAAGTTTTGTTTGTCACGAGTTTTTCATTATCAGCTGAGATACGAATAAAGAAGTGGAACTAAGAGTGTTTACCAACGTCGGTGTTTAAAGGCAAACGAGTTGCCATTATCCACAAAAGTATGTCTGATTGACAAAAGGCCTTCATTGACAATTTTTCCTGTAGACTCAGAGCTTATTCTCGCTTGACTGGTTGTTGGAAGATTGTCTAAAGGCCACACGACTTCATTCGGCATCTAAAACTGTTGGTTTATACCATTATACCCGTTAAGTGTCTGCCTTATTTGTTGGCCATGTATATTACAATGAAAAAGAAAAACCTTAAGGTGAAAATCAAGAACAATAACGAAGTTTCCTAAAGGTGTTCTCGGTATATATATCATATCCAAAATGGAGTTGATCGAGGAAAAGTTTTAAGTGAGTGCTAGTGAGTGGTAGAAAAAGCATGAGAGTTTGAAATACAACAAGCTAAAAACCAATGCAATGGAGCGTTTCACTTACGTTGCCAGCCGCTATGCAAATTTATTGGAACAAAAGAACATTTAATTACATAAGAAAAAGGCTCCCACAGGACTGCTTTGGAACACCACTACGGCCGCCGATTTATTGAGTTTTGGAAGAGCAACAGAGAGCTTAAGCAACAACGACGGCAACGGCTACGAAAACGAGTCGGACACTTAAAAAGTGTTTTATTCCATCTCGTGCTGCCTCAAATGCTTTTTTTGCGTTGAATTATTCCATCTCGTGTAATGACCTGCGGTTTTGTAATGCAGGGCAAAAAAAAAAAAAACTATGTGGTTTATTGGTGTTGAAGTAGAGCAAGAGACGAGTGCACCCCTTCCTGAAAAAAATCCTGGATCCGCCCCTGTAAGGACTGTATCAAAGTTCAGGAAAAGAAAAAGGAAGTTGTCGTCTTGTGTTTCCGTTCTCAACAAAACGTGAGATTAGGCACTTTCACGTTGTAGTCGTGCGACGACAGCTAAGAAAAAATACAAAAAAAAAAATGCACGTGCAAAGTTGTTGTTTTGCTAATCTAACCTATTGCCTTTTTGCCGCTCTCGGTGCCGTCGTCGTCATCGTTGCTTAAACTCTCTAATATGGTGGATGTGACGTCATGTGAAAACGCTGTATAATATTATACTGAATGGGCCATTTGCTCGATGGTGTCATTTTACTATCAAGACCAGAATCCTTTTCGTGTTGTCTTTCATATTTTAAATTTTGTACCCCCAGTGAGGTTTAAACAACAAAATCCCTTATTTGCACAAGAAAGCAAAGCCCCGAAGGATTCTGGTCGTAGAAACAAAATGACGTCATCGTGTAAGTAGCCTGTTGTGACCATCTTTTTAACCGAGAGGAAGCTGGGCCGGAACTTAGCCTCATTCCCATTACTTACGATGTGGAACTTCAAAAACATCCGGGTCATTATCAGGATCATAATCCCATTCCTCAAAGCTGTGATACTTGATAACATACTTGTCGTAATAGGAAACTAACAGAGTGTCGTAGCCGTTCATTTCAAAGTACACTGGCTTGGGTGGAACTGTCTTGGTCGCGTAAAATACGTAGGAATTGTTACGTTCAAACACTGTCACGTTATAAGCCCATTTAGTGCAAAGTTGGCCATCGATGGTAGCATCTCCTACATACTGGAAAATTAGGTAAAGAAGAAGAGAGGCAAGATATTTTAGTAAATAAGGCCGAGTAAAGGTGTTTGATGTGAGTCTAAACTGTACGTTTTGCAGGAACTGGACTTTCCTCAGTGTTTCAAAGCAAGAGCGTATACTGCTGTATGAGGCAAGTAATTTGAAATGTTGGCTTTGACTTTTACGATGTCACTCTAAGATGTATTAGCTATGTGCAGATCACCAGTGACCTAAAAGCGACTTTAAATTAGTCCGGAACAGTTTCAAACGGGTCAAAATTGAACGATTCGTTTTGGAATTCCTTTTTTTTTACACTGTCAAATGCAAAATAAAAAAACTCATAGTTGCAATTCCAGTTATATAGTATTTTTTATCATTGTATGTTTTTCATATTCAGGTTGTCGTAGAAGCTAAAAAAAACTTAGCTCCGGCCGTCAAGCGTCGAACCTCACATTCAATTATAATGCTAATTCGAGCAATATCTATTTTTATCGCTCATTAGCTTAAGGCTACGTCCCTCAGTTATATTAAGAACGCTTTCTTCACTTTTGTTGCCAACCGACCAACATATCTAAGCGCAATATGGTTAAGGCGAACAAACTGTAGAAACTGTAACCTTAAACTGCAAAACATTTACCTTGAAGTCTTCCAACTTCGACTTAAACGGCCAAGCTGAGTTGCACGGCAGAATGGACTGGGCCTTAGCCTTTCGAGACTTGCTTCCATACCTCTTCCAACAGCCTTTGTAATGGCGATGATTCTTGTGCTTCTTGTAAGAGTATTTGGGAACTATTTTAAAGAACATGCCATGTCTTCCTAGATCCCCTCTTTGAAAGGTTTGTACCTCACCTAACACCAGTAAGTGATTAAAAAGACATGTTCAAAGTTTGGAAGGATGACACGTGACCATGGTATTACATTATTCAGATTAAAAAGACCAGAAAATTAATAAATGTCAACAGTCTATCAGGCACAGTGATGGAGCACTATTTCAGAAAAATGACATTCTGCTTTTCGACAATTTTCTAATCCAAAAATTGCCTAGACTTAAGTACTAAAGCTTCTAATGTGTTTTTTCATTTTTTGAAATTTTATCACTGGGTGATCCTAAGTCAATCTACGCTGGATTCATCTCTTAATTTAATCCAAGTAGTATTTTTCCTACGGGTACTTAACAACAACAAACAAACTTTGATATTTTTGTAATATGATGCGGGTACCGTGTCTAAATCGCAACAAATAATCCGTCAAATGATCTAAAAATACTCCAAAAACAGACATACCCTGAAGTTTCTTTAAAATTTTTTCTCTCTGTTAGAAAAAAAAATCGTATTTTCCGGCTTACCATGATAGTAATCTATTCTACTCTTGTCGTAAGTTTGACTATGCCAGACTTCAAACGGTTCGTTGATATTATTTGTAGGAAGAGACAAGACACCTGTAGCATGATATTCTCTTGGAAAATGCAAACTCCTCAAATCTACGCCAGTTTGGTGACTTTGCTCCGAGTTGCTGAGGTTGCGATTAACGGGCGAACACGCTATAAAACGCCAATGTTCAAGAACCGTAAAAAGACACACAATAACCAATCTTCCATAAGGCATATCACAGTGCAGGACTTCCCAGCGTAATTTCTTGCCAACAGGTTAACTCAAGTTCTTTACACAACCACCACCCACAAGTCGAACTCGAGTTTGAAGAGCTTATTTCACGCTTGGCGTAATGTCATCCTGTATTTTTGAGACGACCTCTGGACGATCTGAGGGAGTCAACCTGAGTCATTTTGCTTCCATTGGGAAGCCAACCCTGTATGTTTATACGTGATTCACGCGCGTTATTACATCATAGAGTAATAACGGTGTTCTGATCAAAGCTTAGTTGCCAAATATACCATATATGGACGTGCGACAAAGCAGGCACCAGTCGTAGAGTAATTTAAATCTGCACCGCAATTAAATATCCTGCCCAGTTTCCCTTTTCATTCTTATTGGCAATTATTACTGGCCGGCGGGGAAATAAGAGTCATGAGATCATTCCTAGAGTACGATTAGTCCTTAGTTTTTTTTCTCAACTGCAGTACAGCAGAGGAAATGTGCGAACACATGTGACTTATCCTCCCGCGAGGAAAAGCGACAACGGGAGGTCAGAGAGAATTAGGGACCCTTTTGAGATATTTGTTCTCTCACCTTTCCACGCAACACGCGACGTCACGCGCGCTGTAGTATTTTTCCTGGGGAATGTAGCCTAGGGGTGCATCAAAAAAATTACTGTAATCTTCTTAAAATAAATTACGAAATAAAAAGAGTTTCATTACGCCATTTGCTACATGACCGGAGAAAGTGGCGTCCACTTTTCTTGAAATCGTTTAGTAGAAATCAAGTTATTTTAGGTTGAGTTCTTCAAGTTAATCTGTCAAAAAAATAACCTTATCTCTTCATTCGTATTGATTTCCCTCGTTCAATTTAACTGCGTTCAAATTTAAACCTCACATTTCAAACCAAGAGGAACAGTATCAGTACACTTCAAAAAGAAGGAAATTATTAAAAATGGGTCGTAGGAAGAAACTACAGGAACAAATTTATTTTAATATTAGGCGTCGTAAACCTCCGAAATGTGAACAATGTTCGTGGTACTTTCAATAAACGCAGGGGCACCCAACGAGGATATAGTTCAAAAGCACTTAACATAGAGTTGTTGAACATTTCAAACGTGGTTTTTATCCAAAAATTTCATCTGTTCGGAAAAAGTCTAGTGATCCAAAAATTATAGGGGTAAAAACTTACCTTCTCGAAAATTTCAGCCAGAAAAATTCTTGGCTTTTTTTTTTTGTCAAAATCCGTTAAAAATGGGTAATTATACCATTTTGTAGATGTTCAAAATCCTAGTTTTATAAGAAATGCTCCGAAAATTCTAGGTCTCAAATCGTCTTCCGAACAGATATTTTCCCGAAAATTGCCGTTGGGAGCCCCTGTAAACGTACGGTTAAGCTGAAGAATCTTGCCACTTCGAGCTTTGTTCACAGTTTCAGTAATACCAGCGAATCTCCATCCTGTTTTTCCGAAGTGTCAAGAAAGACTAGAGCGTATCGAGAAATTGGGACCAATATAAGGGAAAGGTCGTGGAAATTTTCTATATAAATAAGACACTCTGTCAGTCTTAGTTCATTTAATCTGTATCAGTTACAGTTTCATCCATAGTGGAGAAGGCTTAAAAGTTAAAGCCACGTAGAGGGAAAGACAGACAGACTTTATGAATAGCTGTTACTAGTTTTTGATGGTCAACGGGTTTAATCTGGATTTGAGGAGTTTAAGCGCACCACACACTATCACTGATTATTACTACTACTCCGCGGGTGTTCGTTGAGTTCGTTTTTACTCTAAAAACAGGCTGATTTAGCAACAGGACGGGAACATCAGTTGACGACAGGAAAGCGCGCGGAAAGGACTAAACACGACTTCCGGTGCTCAATTTGTAGCTCTGCCATTGGTGAAGCCAGTTGTTTGATTTGCGCGCGCCGTCGTCAACTGACGTTGCCGTTCTGTTGCTGAATCAGCCTAACAACTACATAAGAGCGCGCATAACTCGACCAATTAAAATGAAATTGACTTTCTATTATGATGTCACAAAGTCTCCGCGGTCCCGTCAGTTCAGTACATGTCTCAGTAGATCAACCCAACAAAAGACAAACCTCTGGGGCAGTAGTCACAGCTTACTGCTTATCAGCAGCGTAAAAAAACTATGAGAACACGTCAAACCCGATTGAGGTAACACAAAAAACAGAAACATTGTTTTACTTTTCTACCTGACAAAGGAACTTGTTATAATGTTTATTCAATTTCTATGGAATCTACAATGATTTCATTTAGCACAACACTTCCTCTGTTATTTCCATTCCATTTTATTCCATAGTTCTCAGAAGTTTAATTCACAATTTTGCTGGAATATATATCATAAAAAGTGGATGGTAAGTGTTTTATAATGAAAACAACATAGTTAAATGTCCAATTTTTTTTTCTAGCCAGTATGTTCAGATTTCAGTCATTATAAGTTTGCGGTATTAAATTTCTTTATCTCAGAGAAAATAGGCAAATAAATAAATTGATGAATAAATAAATATTAAATAATTAATGGTACAAACAAATACTAATTTCACTGAAATGAAGGCATGAAACTAAAAACTGACTGCTGACTAGTTTTCTTTTTCATTTACTTTCTCTTCACGAAAGTATTTCAGGGTTAACTGTATACCTGGGGACATGCTTCCACGATGCCGAGAAGAAACATTGGAGGCTTTCTGCGGGAGAAATTCTACAAAAGGTGGGTGGTAACTAGTATTGACGAGGAGAAGAAAAGCATCAATTTTACTATATCTTAGAAAAGTATAAATAAAATGCAGCTGTGTAAAACAGCGTACGAAGAGGATAGAATATTACAACGAGTATTAGAAACAGAAAAATCATAATAATGAGTTTTATGACAGTTCTTCCGCGAGTTGGTTCTTTATACTTAGTCGAATACAATAATGCTAACTTTTCTTTTTTTTGGAGGCCCCCCACAATTTTATTTCCTCCGTCGCGATGAACAATCGGTTTGATTTTGAAGAGATTCGTACATGCAGTCTTGGAAATTGAATAACAACAAAACGTTTTATTTCTTAGAACGCTCATCAAACCTTCCTATTAACATAAAAAGGGACGTACTTGCAAGCTGGAGCGAACGAGAAAGAGATGTTTTTACTCGACGGTACTATCATGATTTGCTACGCTAACTCCTAGTTGTAGTAATTAGCACACATTTAGGCTATGCGTGTATCAATCTGCATACCAAATAAGTATTTATGTTGAAATGTTAAAACGACGATTAAAAATTGTGAGTTGAAGCACTGATCACATGTTGACTTGCTCGATCTTGTTTGCCTTAGTGTACACACTGTTTTTTAACATTTGATCAAGATTTGAATAAAATCAGGCCTATATTCCCTTGCCTCTCTGGGATTCATTTAATTTATTTATTCATTCAATTATCAGCACTAAAGAACTGTGCAATTAATGCCGTGATTATAGTCCAGTTTAAGGTTGAAACAAATCTTCTCACTGTAGAGTGTAAAGAAGAAAGTTTGACTTTGGATTGTAAATTGAAGGATCGCAAGTATGTCCGATAAACATTCCAAACAAAGTATTGATGATGACTTTTCAATTCCACAGATTCATCAAGTTCGGGAAAGATTTCACCCAAATTGCTGATTCTTTGCCAGGCAAGGTGAGACGTCTGGGTCATTACAGTAAAGAGATTAAGGGACTGTTTACATGGAGGTGGGGTACCCCAGATAGGTCAGGTAACCCGCTTAGGTGGGGCAACCCGCCTGTCCATATAATCTCTCATTTTAATGTGATCACGTTTGCATGTTAGGTGGGGTAACCCACTACATGTTACCTCACCAACCTGGGGTCCGCCACCTTCATGTAAACAGGCCCTTATAAGATAAAGGATTACTACAGTTTGGCAAAGGAACAAACAAATTCAATCTTTACAAAGACAAGACCCACTTGATGCAACGCCATTCCTGATACCAAAATTTATTAAATCAATCAGTGAGCTGTTAGTATTCTCATGACAATCCTTCGCACTTTGCAGACAGTGGCTCAGTGCATTCATTATTACTACCTCACCAAGCATCAAATCCTTTACAAACAGGTAAGAATATCGAAGTAGACTTGATCAGTGAAACAAAATACATCTAATCACTTGACGCTGCTCTAGTTTAAACAGGAAAGGTGGCAAAACTAAAGCGCTGGAAGGAAATTTGGGACTTGCCCGCAACTATACGCATATATATTGTCTCACCGGACGAACGCGCTGGTAATTAAAGAGAGCAAAATGAAAGGGTACTTAAGTTATTCAGTTCCACGCATTGCGGACCTACCAAGCCCCTCCGATTTGGCAACAACGAGTTAAACTTTTCCACTGGTAGAACGTCTTTAGGTACTACCTGATCGAATTTTAAAATTATTCGGTATAAGCTCCACGTAAGAATTTTGTTTTCGTTCCAAGTCGGTAAACCAAATTATTTATCTGAAATGACCCATCCCCTCCCCCAGAATAGTCAGCTCCACTCCACCCTCCTTTGGCAATGAGTCACGCATTTCTCGTCTTTGGTAGGAGACGACTTGCTACTTAAAACTAGAAGAAGCTTTGCCACAGGCAGCCCAATAATTATTTTAAATAGCCGTGAGTAAAAATAACCAAGATTACAGCAGCTTTTCTTTCCTTTCATTTCAGTTACGAAAAATGGCAATTGATGCGGAATGTGAAACTCCTATTGTTAAAGCCCGCGGTATCGAGAAAGGAAAGAAAAAAGCTTTGGATTGTTCTAGAAACGCTGAAATTGATAGGAACAATGTAGGAGATGTTTTGTGTTTTGATAAAACAAGCTCCACAATAGATCCTGAACCAGGGGATAGAACCAAAAAAATCGGAGAGTTCTCATTTGAGAGACTGGGGGAAAACGCTACAGAGGTCTTGAAATCCAGTTTTAAACTGACGCCGAGAGACATATGCGGTGAGCAAAGAAAAATCAAGAAATCGAAATTCTTAACAAAACTTTTGGCAAATACTACGGCTCCACTAGGTGAGCTTTGCCGTAGATACAGCTTAAATAAAAGACAAGAAAACGGCAACGAAATGACTTTTTTTGGAAGGGAGCCTGGTTATTCCATGAACAAAAATCATGAGGATGAGCAAACAATAGAGAATCGTCAAAATCACGAAAATACATACGGCATGATGCAGTATCATTGTTATGGCGAGGGGACCGACGATGAAAACTATACATCGATATCTTGCAGTGATAAAAAACAGCGTTCATCAATAAACACGGCTGACGAGACTCTGGTTATGACAGACTGGGTAGAGGCCAGTTCATCTTACGATGTCTTGTGTAACAAGGAAAAGGAGGCAAAGAACTTAGGAATACTTTCCGGCAGTAAGGGAATGTTGAAGAAGACACAGAAACACAAAGGCGGCGTAGAAGAGTGTCTTAGTGTTGAGAATAAACCTCTGAAAGAGATGTGCAAAACGAAACCTGATAAAGGTCTCAAGGCGAACATCTGTATGGACAACACAAGAAAAGAAGCAAGAATGAATAGAAACAACAATTTACAAGGCCTAAAAAAAGAAGCGAACGAAGCAAAGACGAATCACTGTTCTAATAACAAACTAAGTTTTCCTTACAGTCAAAAGAAAAGAAAGATTGAAAACCTCAAAGAGAAAAGCTATTTTTGTAATGAAGGAAAGGTCAAGAGATTCAAACCGAAATTCGGCGGAGATGACACTAGGAACATTTCTTTAAAGAAACAAAGATGTGAACTTGAAAATACAGATGTAGCTCATTCATCAGAGGCGTGCTCAGATTCTGCTTTCCTACTGGTCAACAGCGAGCATAAACTTATGATGACCGCTGACCAAACAAAAACGGGGCCTTGGAATGCTTATGTTCCTATGACGCAGACTCAAAGTAAAGGGAAGGGCTCCAAAGGCTGTACCAGAAGTAATTACATGAACATCTTTAACAATAAAGCACGCTTAAATCAGGGATGGAATGAGACTTCTGAACAACAACACCAAAGGAATTTTGAACTCACAGAAGAAGAAACCGCTCATTTACAGCCTCAGAGTAACGTTTTGCAAAGGGCTGTCACCTCTTGCGATAACAAGAAGATAAACGGACCACTCAAAGAAAAGCTATCATTAGAGAACAAAAACAACCGTAGCTGCGCTAAACAATCAAAAAACATGAAAAATCAAGGTTCTTGCGCTCCAAGTAAGACTTACAACAGAACGCCTGATAAAGAGACCCAAAATAGAGTAAAGACACAACCCACCACTCGTCATGCAAACATAGTTAGTGCTGGCACACAAACGTTCGATTTAGCTTCTGTTTTATATGATATTAAATCAGCAGAATGCAAAGCGCAGACCAGTGAGCACGCTAAGCCTTACGCCGGCGATAATAGAATGACATGTGTTAAGTCAAAACGATCAAAAGAGCGGGCAACGCATAAGCTTGCAAGGGCTGGGGAAACATCTCACGGTCATTTAGCCCACCAGTTACGTAAGGATTGTACAGTTTCCATAGAAACCCAACCTTTTGCTCATAGAAATACAAATCAAAGCCAAGTTAAAGTCGTGCTGAATCAGCCTACCACCTCAAAGGATCTAAACTACTTACACAACCACGACAGTTCAAATCCAAACTACAGTGGAAACACGGATTTTCGGGGAAATTGTGTAAAGGAAAACAGGTTGGAAGCCCCCCAAAAAAGCTTCATTGACACAATTATGGAAGCAGCAAAATCGGCAGCAAAACCTTCGATAAAAGTCAACCAAGGACAAACTAGTACTAAAGATAATGTTGTCAAAGGAACTAAGCGAAAATTGTCATGCGAATATTTGATGAGAAGGCAGTTAAAAAAGGATTCATAAATAATCCTAACAACGATAATCGGCAGGTTCAGGAGGTTTCTAAGGGGAAAATACCAGCAAATAACAAATTCCTGGCAGAAAATTCTGGTCCAATTGACAAATACCAGAATATTATGGCGGAAAAAGTGGACTACAGGTGTTACGGATCAACAAGGAGCAGTGAGGAACATCACTGGTTGGTTGAAAACTTTTCGAGCAGGAAAATGTCTTCCTAGTCACAGTTGCAAAAATTATGACCACGAAACACTGCTGTTGGAATAAAGGTGCTGTTCTTGAATTTTCTTTTGAGTCATAATTCGAGTTCAAATTCCAATCAAAAATTATTTGCTCTGGCTCATCTACGAACTTACGCGTTGAAAGCATACCACCAGGTGACAGTCAGTTTACAAAAGGGGAGAAATGATGATCTCTCCATGTCTCAGCAGCGGGGCTACCAGTAACAAGAACCTTCCTCCCTCCCCCCCCCCTCTGTCCATTGTCCACTATGCTCATGCGCAAGCTCGCAACTTGTGCGACTTTCACTAAAGAGGATCTTAATGAATTTGTCGATTTTGCGCACGTTTGGCCATATTATAAGTCAGTTATTGGCAACGCGCGCCTTTCCACCAATAATGGTCTTTGGCTTTGTCCTTTTGTCATTGGCCAATATCAACTCAATATCACCAGGCCATTTTGACGTCAACCATAGTGCAATACTACGTACAGAATTCATAGTACGCCAGTATGTGAGTATAACGGGAAGAAGGTTTTTCGAAGATTTAGTTTGGGAAACCATCTTTTGCGGCGTAGTTCCAGGTTTCTTTATTTCAGCACAACAAACATGCACACTATGATATGCATTACAGAAAAGAATCACAGAGAAACTTAAGGGCGATTGAGTTCCAAATTTTGGGCTAAAAGCAGAGCTTAAATTAACTAACTATTCTCAAACTTTCTAGGAACTCTAAAAGAAAGACATCACTGAAGCCATTCTCTCGAAAGGAAAACAAAGCATGTTGCTTTTTATATATTTTTTGACAATACAATTACGAGTTGAGGTGAATTTGCAGTCGTTTCCTATACTGGTTATCGAAGGCCAAAGACACGCAAACTCAACCATTACCACGTTTGTGTTTTCTTTGATTCGAAAACCAATCGGCTTACATAGCCCGATCTAAGTGACACCTTTTGATATATTTGCCGAACGTACAGAAAAACGTGCGTCAACCATGATAGAAGAATACAGACTGTTAGTTACTTTCAAGTCCAAGAATCGACGTTACACTTGGGCATGTGTAGGTATGAAGACATGCTTTTAGTTGTGCCTCCAACAAGTGATGGCCATCAACATCTATTTTCTGGTTATCAAATAATCCTTTTGTAAAAAATGAAGATCAAACATCTATTTGCGTGAAACATGATTGGGCTCTTTTTGGGCTGCTCTTGGGACTAGGCTGATGTTGCTGTGGGGGGTGAATTTTCACCCGGTTTCCTGTGCAACCTTGAATCGATAGCGTCCCCCAAAAAGAGTCCCATAGTACAATTCGAAACTACACCTCAATATGGCTAATTAGACGAACTTCATTTTAAAGCCGAATCCAATTATTGTTTTACTGAAGCGGACACAATGTTACCCAAACTTTTCTTACTACAGTCAACGCTCGCATTGCGGACACCCCGCTATAAAGGACACCTCAATAAAACGGACAGCAGCTAAATTCCTGGCAAAAACATATTACAGACGTTTGACTAAAATTTACTCTCGCTATTACGGACTCTCGCTTATGAGGACTCTACCTTGAGGTCCCTACAGTGTCCGCAACAAAGGGAATTAACTGTATATCACGTGAAAAACGTATTAAGCAGAATGATGCTTCTATCACTAACTAGGTTCCTGTGACTGTGCTTAGCGGACACATTTCACGGCATCTTAATTTTAAAATAACTTCTTATTATTTTGAAATAATGAATTGATTCTTATTTTGTTAAAAATATACAGCCAACACTTAGCGTTTGCGAGTTTTCTTCAATATATTAAGGCTCAAATTCGGGATTAAACACATCCATTTAATCCGACCTAATATTTCTAATTATATCATCATATACTATTTTAGCAGCGTCCATTCCCCAGATGAAGTCCAAATGGTCCCAATTTTTGATGTAGTTGTTGTAAAGTTTATTTGGTAACAGTGGAAGAAGTGCTTTCACATCTGTTGGGTCAGCAAGCCAGTCATTCTGTGCCCAGTATAGAGCCACGGGGACTGTCATGTCTGAGGCATTGTATCGAGGTGGAGTGGGCTAGAAAGAAGTGGTATGCAAGAAGTTAGAAAGAGGCAATGCTCTTGATGTCTCTGATTCTCTTGGTAATTTATCAGGTACAAGCAAGGCCCCTGACGAACAGTTTGACCCATTCGCCAATGGAAATTTTCCCCAGAAAGAACTCTGTTTGAAGCAAGCCGAGCCGCAGGCTTCCTGGCACTTTCTGGTCATTTTAAAACTAAAATGTCGGAAAAGGTTTTAAACTGTCCGCGCAAGGTAACGCGAGTGTAAGACAACTTTGTCCGAATGTAAAGTCTACTCTATTCAATACTGCTCTCACTGTGGAGAGTGGTTACTTTTAGTTTTGAAAATTCACGTAAAAGGGCGATGAACTTGACTCAAACGTGCAACAAAAATGTGTTACCGGTACGACAAATGCCGCACACGAATAAGAGAAGTTCGTCATTACCTCGCGACACCAAGGTTCACAGCAGTCCTAATTAATCTTCTATTACCAATCTGGTGATTGTGCTAAACTTGCTATATATTTTAAAGGTTCCTACACCGATTAATATAGGTCCAAGTCCTTGTAAACCAATCTTTAGCACCCGTTGTGTTTCGGATCTACTCGACCTTTATGGGCTCTCAGTAACGTCTTTTTTAATACTTCATCAAGAAGAAACCGAGCTTTTCGGTTTATTCCTCTCTTTATAAAGCATACCTGTCCATAGTGCTTCTTGTTTTCCTTTGAATTTCCGTAATCATACATCTGGAATTTCTTGGATTTGTACATCTAATTACAGAAAAAGAAGTGATTAAAATGCCAAAAGAAACCGTGCCTAACTGCATGTTAGGATACTCGGCGCTGATAGATCGGCAGGCATTAACCCTTTAAGCCCCAATATCCACATACAAATTCTCCAAACTGATCTCCATACATTTCCTTTAAGAAATAGTTAAGAGAATTTGATAAAAGATCATGGAATCATTTTATTAATTCTCATAAGTTTATCTCTTGACAGTGTATGGATGTTGTTAGGAGAAAATTGTTGTTGGTCACTATTGGCACTCAAAGGGTTAAGCTCAAATCAGTGAACTTACCTGTGCAAAATGAACCATGTTCCTGACTGACGTTCCAGCTGGCGTGTGTGTATAATATATTGGAAGTCGAGTCTGTCATTAAAGCAAACAAAAAAAAACTTAAAAACTAGAGGTTACAAATGAGTATAGTGCTGTGGGCGGATGCTGGGCAGTAAAATATCACCTGAGAAAGGTTGAACGGACATAGACATTTTCAAATTACAGAACCTTCTATAATAATGTCAGTTAATAGTTGTGGGATAAAGGACTACGAGGGATGAGTCCCACAATCAAAAGTTCTTTGTGCTTTGGGTCTTGATTACCCACTGGGTTTACAGTCATGTACGAAAATATTAAATTTGAAACTGTTTTGCGCGCGCGACAATGTGTAAACTTTGCGCGCTTAGAATAACGCAATGAGAGGGTTACGATTTGAATTTGAATTCAGTATGATGAACATAATTGCTAAAACTCAACCTGACAAGCAAGCGATGAAATTCCATCATTGGTGACCAGCGTGACCTCTTTTTCGTACAACTTTATAGCTTACGAAATCAGCCTAGCGTTAATTGGAATAGCTTTATTATATTTCTTCAATCGGATGAGATTTATCTTTTTATTGACTCAGTATTATTTACCTCATTCAGCTGCTTCTTATCAAAGCCACAGATGATAAAAATTATGTCTGAGCAGAACGTTTCCAAGTCTTTGTCTGAGCAAACATGCTTAGCCAACCAATGAATAATGGCATCAGATGGTAGAAAATCACGAACGCCAAAAATATCAAACAAAATCTGCATAAAAAAGAAAGAATATAAGTAGGAAGATTTTTCATGTTTTAAAGGCACGCGCCTTAAAATAATTAATAGGGATCTTAAGATTTGAGGAAGGCGATGGCAGCAAAAATTCGCGTTCTTCAATCTTCATCGCGATTATTCCAACTCAGGTGAGCCTCTAGCTATATGGGTATTTCCCACGAAATCGAAGTTGCGACGATCGCCATTGATTTTAATCAAGTTTGACAACGTTAATCGTGCAATGACGGCAAAGAAATCTACCACTGAAAAAAGTGTGCTGTACGTGCGGTTTTGTTTTGCTTCTTTTCTCGTTTCCGTCATCTTTGTGGTTGCGCTGTGCTCGCTAGTAGCGTTACCATGCAAAGCAATTCTTGTGATGCGACGATCAGTTCGCCTGATGACAAAACCGACGACTTGACGAAAAAGGCGCGACGAAATCGTCGACCGCAGGTATCCATACAGAGGCTCTCACTCACTCGAACGCTCCTGGCCTGGGTTGTTTAAAAGTTGGATAGCGGTATCCATCGGATAAATCACAATCTAGTGGATACGTATTAGAAAACCAATTACGCTATCCACTGGATAGAGATTTATCCAGTGGATAGCGCTATCCACCTTTTGAACAACTGGGGCCTGGAGCTGAACTCATATAGCTACGTGCAAACGGACATCGCAATGCTGGGAGTTGTTGCGTCCGTTTGCAGGGAGCGGAGCTAGAAGTTTGACCGGTTTCAAACTTTGCGCAACAACTTCCAACAACATGCAACAGGGTGTGCAAATGGACGCAACATATAAAACCTAACAATGTTGGTAGTTTCAAAAGTAGGTTGAGTTTGATCGTCCGGGTGAACGTAGTCCTGAATAGGACTGTTGTTGTTGACAGTGACTGACGTTTCGACAACCTGTGCGGTAGTCATCTTCAGAGTCAAAGTGGGAGTTGTTAGCCAACACTGTTGCGTCCGTTTGCACGGGGCTTGAGAACCATATCCAAATTGAGAAAGATAACTTACGGGTTATGGCTTTAAGGCTCTTATTCCATCTCTTCAATTTGTCAAATGTTGGCGGATTTTCGTGGAGTTGAATTTTAAAGGAAGGTACAAGAGGGTCCGAGTCCTCCATAAAAACCTGAAGAGAAATTTCCGTTTCTAGTGGTTCACCGAAGGCAAAGAAATGTACAAAGGAGTATGATGCACTTGCAAAGTTAATCTAAACCTGTTGCTTGTGTATCAGTTTTTTTCCCGCAAAATTAGGAGGTAAATTTAGATTGCTTCCCACGAAAACCCCTGCATTGGAACACAGGTCTACACTTCAGGGTTACATGCCTACGGTGTTCATCTAACATCATACCTCTATTTCGTCTATCGCATCAGCAAGATATTTAATAGGACTCTCCATATGGCCCACAGTGGCCACGGGTCCCATAGCAAAGAACTTCTTCACTTTTTTCGCTAATTCTTTATTCCTGGAAAACTCGGCAAAAGCCATCAAGGTTCCTTGTGAATGGGCAGCGTAATATATCGAGGACTGTGATGTTTTGTTTGTAACAAAGTTCAACATGGCGGGAAGGTCTTGGCTTGCCATCTCATCCCAGCTACAAGATTAACAAACATTTTATAACTGCAATTTCTCTTGTACTTTTATCCATTTATTACCAAGTTTGTGTAACGTGGGCCGCTTAACGGTTGGAACATTTCGTTGAGTGATGAATACGCCTGCTCGACGCTTTCCTGAAAAGAACTAAGGGGAGATGGCCCTTCTCGAAGTTGAGTAGTAAATAGCAGTATATGTATAGCCATTTACTGGCGGCTCGTTGTTACAATAGGGACCTTACGATCCGACAACGGCGACGTCCACGAAAACGTCGTTGAAAAATGGACTTCGCATCCTTTTAGACGTTTTCGCGATTATCCCAATTCGCACTGTTATTTAAAAGAAGGGAATTTTGGTTGGAGCTGAAGAGAGGGGGCCGCGCCCGAGTTCAGACAGAGATGGTAGAATTTATCGCCTTGTCGTTCCCGTACTCAAGTAAACTTAAAGTGTGGTCATGTCACGTCGTTGTTGTGAAGGCACAGCAAAGAAATGTACAAAAAAGCGTGATGCACGTGCAGAGTTGTTGTTTTGCTCATTAAACCTATTGTTTTTTTGACGTTCTCCTTGCAGTCGCCGTCGTAGTGTCGTAAGGTCCCTGATACCTATAGACCGCAAGCGGTCGTCCTTTTTTCCTCAGAGCCACGCGCGGCGAGTGTAAAAGTAAAATTATGCAAATTAATGGTAAAAAGAAGGAGAGATTGGGGCGGAGAGTGGAAAAAGCTTCCGCCATCGTTCCTCGCGCCTCCGCCGCTCGCCCCCCACGCGTACTCTCGATCTACTGTGACTCAACGACCAACAAAACAGTAGCCTGAGAGCAAGCTATTTACGACGAGTCGTATTTGTAGTGAGCCGCCATAGAACTTGAAAAAACCCCCAAACGAAGAGCTTACACGCGGCCTTGCGTCACAGTTCCTCTTAGCCCGCCTCACAAGCTATAACTAAACGTAGGGTAACAACAAAAAATGTACAACTTATTTTGCAACACTGCTGCTAAACGAGTAGCCTGCATAGCATGGCGGTTTTGTCGAGCCTAACCCTAACCCTCACCCGCCCCAATCTCCTCGCGGTTTCTTTGCCCTCGCCCGCCTTTATTACTTAACGCGCCCAACCAAAACCGCCATGCTACGCAGGCTACTAAACGAGTTCAATAGCGATGTTGAGCGTTTTACCACCCACGACCTTAACCTGTCCTGCAACAAATCAGGTTGTTGCAGGTTTTGAAAAGTTGCTGCAGAAAGAAGAGTAGCTCTACTATTTGCAACAAAATTTGTACATGATGCGCGTTTTAACGGCCCATGGCAAACTTGTTTTGCAACTCCCGTGTATGGCGTGACTCCCGCCTTATTTCATCCTATCAGAAGTCAGTTATTCACGCAACTTGCAGCAACCAGATTTATTGCAACTTGCACGACCGGTTTGAACGTGGACGATAAAACGCGCAACATCACTTTCGCCCGTTTTGCACCAATGCTTCGAAACAATTGGCACGCTTTTGTAGCCCGTTTAGCCCTAGCTTAAGCGACATATGTTAAAAAGAGGGCAACTGTCTGACCTAAAATTCCAAAACTCATCAGAATGCACCGGGTACTTCACATGGCGAAGACCGTACGTATTTCCTCTTACATTCCCCAACCAAACGTCGAATCCTGCGTCAGCCAGGATGAAAGCAAAACCCTCATTCGGTAAATTAATGATCCAATTGGACGAGGAGCAAAGGAGACCGTGCTGGAGGAATATCACTGGCTTTGGACCGGTACTGGGATCTTGATTTCTTCCTGATGGTATCCTTTGTATGTAAATAATGTAACCATCATCTGTAACAACGCTGTACTCCTCGGCAGGATACCCATTGTAACGGATGATTTGGGTCTGCAACATATTAAAAGAGGAAATAATTGATCGCGATGTCATTATTTTTTCTCTAAACTCTGGGGGCCTTTTAACTATCACTATGTGAGGGTGCTTATTCGGAAAATTAATATATCTAGAAATTTTGCACAGTGTAGGTAACGATTTATGAGAGACGTAAAAATTCGAAACCAATTCGCCTTATATAAGTGGAGGTCAAGCGACACGAGCTTGGTTTACACAATTACTCATACTCAATCTGACTTTAGAGGTCTCTGAACAGGACAAGGTTTTTAGCATTTGTTAGTCGACTGAGAGAATCTCACAGGTTCCATGTGGAATGTGTGGGGAGAAGAGCTGGCGCACTGATAAAAGCAATCATCTTCTCACCAAAGCAATGCTGCCTGGGCTCTCTTCTCCAAGAGGTTTTTTTCTGGACTCCCCCTCTCCTCAAAAACCAACATATCCAAATTCCACTTCGACACAGTCACTCGAAGGACGAAAGTCTTAACAGTTCTTGGAAATGCAGAGCGTCACATTTTCTAAATAACCTTTGTATGTTTGTTTTGTTGTCGCTGTTGTTGTCGATTTTGGAGCCAAATGTTGTCGTAACATTAAAAATATAAAGCGAAAACTCTCGGGGTTGCGTGACTTGTTTAAAATAAGGGATTTACTATCCAACGACGCGATGGCAGCGAAAACGTCGCATAAAAAGAGAATTTACTTTCTTCCGGTCTTTATCGGGATTATTCCTACCCAATTACTTTTATCCAAAGTAGGCGAACCCCCCTGGAGTTGAATTGCTAGGATCCCTATCCAAGTTGAGAAAGAGAAATAAAATTTCCTCGTCGCTTGTTTACGTCCTCCATAAAATGTAATAATGATAAGCAATTTCACGTCGTAGTCATGCAAAAACGGCAAAGAAATTCACAAAAATGTATGGTGCACGTGAACAGTTGTTGTTTTGCCCTCTAAACCTATTTCTTTTACGTTCTCGTTGCCATCGCGTTGTCAAATCTTAAAGTCCCTTTCTTCGCGTCACTGCCTGAAAAGCCGATTCTGCAAGAACCACTTTTCGAGTAAGGACTTTGACCAGCCTTCTCTTTGACTAGTTTCTTTAAAAACGCGAAAAATCTGACGGCAGAACAAAGAAACGAGAGCAAAACCGTGAGATTTAACTCCATAATCATCAGTCTTCTCAATTGAGGAAATAAAACGACTGTTGGCAGTCTGCTTTCCTTTGCGACCTTTAACGAAATGCTATGAGTGAGTTACAATTAGTGAGTCGTTATATTTTACAGGTTGCAACTAATTCAGAAATCAAATTGGTGAAAAAAAATTTAAATCAGTTTCAACGCTTCATAACAAAATCAAGTTAGTTCAGCAGCAGTGTAGCCTGTCAGTATGCATAAGTTCAGGGATACCACTGGCGTTACCTGTAGGCAATTACGTCATCGACGTTTTTGCTTCGCCTTTCATTTTCAAAGCGCAAAGGTTATTATTTGTTCAGATAAATACAAAGGACAGAGCCAACTTTTCTCTGTCCGTTTTAACCTTTAGAGCCTCAGTGTTCGTTACATTGCTGCACGCGTCATAATTGTTCATGCTTAGGTGCTGACATAAACACTTATTTGTTTGACTTGTTTGAAGGCAAATTACTTTCATTCAGCAATTTTGTTTTCCTCCAAAACGCAAAAATGCCGAATCTTCATCGCCTATTTGGAACATTTTCCACAACAAAGCATTTTAAATAATTGCCAAAAGAAAGAGTGAGAAGATTCAAGATAGCGTAGAGCGAAACTTGACCGTTTAACATTAGTTTGCCGCAGTCATGTGAAACATGGATTCATCATGTATTTCAGTCGTATGTCTGTTGTTCATAAATAGAAACCACAATTATCTTTTATCAAAGGGTGCTTTAGTTTATTAAGTATACTCATAAATGAGGGTATTATAGATTTGCGACGCGCTTATCGGTTATTAAAGAAAAGAATGCTCAGTTTTGTCTATAAGCATGCAACCATGACTGGACTGAAACCATTATGTACTTACCACATTCATGTCCGTCTCGGGTAAATAATGAAGCTTCGATAGCTTTGCAGCAACAGCGGCTGTCACCAAAACTGTTGAGTAAAGCACTAGAAACGAAACAATTGACATTTTCATGCTACTTTGGGCAAAAATGAAAAACGGCCAAGGTCAAGACGCTGTTGCCACAAACGCAGCTTCAATTGTGACGATGCAAATTACCTGCTGTAATTAAAGTAATGAATAAACACGTCACGTGGTAGGAAATTTGCTGTTCCGTGACAACTCGTGACAACCTTGTGAGGGGATTGTCTCATACTGGGGTCAACCTGGGTCAACCTAGGGCCTGTTTACATGGAGGTGGGGGACCCCAGGCAGGTGTCCATAAAATCTCTCATTTTAATGTGATCACGTTTACATGTTAGGTGGAGTAATTTGCCACATGTTACCTCACCTACCTGGGGTCCCCCACCTTCATGTAAACAGACCCTAATCTCCTTCGCAGCCGTTTTTAGGCTCGTCACGCAACACTCCTCCGGGGAGGAGTGTTGCGTGACGACCCTAAAAACGGCTGCAAAAGAGACTAAGGTCAGCCGGGTCTGCTCCACAGTAACCCTTCCCATGGAGTTTGTCAACTTCACGGGGAGACAAATTTTGCAGTTACGGACGCAGAGGTCCTCGGAATCGACCTTGAGGTTCTTTTTTAACTGAACGGCAATTGTGTGTTACTAAATTTATTTTGGTTGATCCAAGAATTTCCAAACTATCAACGGGCTGCGATTTATGCGTTGGAAATCTGCTCCCTAGCCGGCCGGGTGCCTACCGAACTCTAAGCCTTTGTCAGAAATGCCTCTGTAGTAAATGTATATCCTTTTCCTACACGAGATACTTTCTGTGAGTGCCCCCGCCGGGGATCCAATCAAAATTTGTGTTTCCCTCCCCCCACTCCCGACGAAACACTGCAGTTTCTTTAGAAACGTAACCCTTTTATTCATTAACTAGACGAAATGGACAACACAAAGATCATTCAGAGATCTCTATTGTAAAAAAGCATATTTTCTTTTGTTTTATAGCAACGCGCGAAAAAGCTATGCGACGAGAAAATCCACTCTTTCATTTGTATTGTACCAAGACCCATGGGTAAGGCTTTTGATTGTGCCCATCTCGCTATCCGTCAAACGAGAAGAAAAGACCAGTAAGGGTCCAGTGGCAAGAGTGTTTCTACGATGACTTAAGATTTAATTATGTTACCCACAATAACGAACGTCTAGTTAATTAGCATAGTTCAATTGCTCTAAACCGTCGAGTTGGTAACGTGCAATCGCGCCGTTTTATTTTAAATTTTTGATTATTTTTCGAAATCATGTCTTTTGCGCTAAAGTCTCCTTCAAAGCAAAACGGCCGAGGCAGTAAAGACCATGCGGACAGTGACCTTCTTTTGGGAAGACAGCGCTTTTCGTCGTCTGGTAGTCCAGAAATACAGTTTCGTCCAGAGTTTGCCTACGAAACCTATGAGTTGAATGCTTCGTTTTCAGCCTCTTCGCCGATCTCTCCGTCAAAAACCAACGGAAATTTCTTCAGTGTCCATCAAGCTATCCGAGCGAACAAGATGGAGAGTGTGCGGCGTTACTCTGAAACGGGGCACGATATGGATGTTGTTGATGGTGCTGGGTTTACGGCGCTGCATTATGCCTCTAGCGCTAACAACACTGAAGCGATGTCCCTGTTGCTGGATTGCCGCGCGAACGTCAACTATAAGGGTCAACAGCTTCTCACGCCGTTACACATGGCTGTTCGGTGAGTTATTTCTGCTTGTCCCGCAGTTCTGAAGTCTTTTTCTCAAAAGATGTACAGTCTCCTTCCAAATTCTAGAACGGCGGAGCAAATCGATTTCTAACCGATTTTGGCATCTTCCTGTTAAACAAGGCGGAGCTTTTACAAAGCTAACTCTCTAATTGTATATACGTACTCCCGTTTTAATTACTTTTGACCAAATTGCACAGCGATAATTTATATTAACATGGTAAGCAGCGATACTTGCCCGGCTGACTTGGGAAATTCATCGACTTTCTACTTCTCAGAGTTTTAAAGCTAGAAAAAGGACCCCTCCGTAACAGACTCAGTCCAGTGATATAATTCAGCCTCCCCGATACCTGGCGAATGGTTTGTTTCTACCTGGTTACTTCTTTTTTCCCGGTCACTTCTTTTATGGTTTCTACAAAACCAGCATATTTTGTTATCCGCATTCAGTTGCTTATAATCAAAAAATAAACATAAAACATTATTACCATTGACAGAAAAATTGGAGGGTACAGATAATTGATCTTGCATTTGATTTTAAAAGTGTAAAACGTTTAGCTCTTCTCACTGTAGCAATATGTAAAAGGTTAAAGGTTTCATGGCGAAAAGTTTTAAGTTCTGTAACCGCTTTAAGCTTGTATGGAAGTTACACAACTACAAAAAGACCCTGTGGGAAATAAGCCAACGGCGGTAACGTTTCCTCCAAAAACCTGGTGACATGAAGATATAGACTCTACTGCGTCTGTTACAGAGGGTGTAAATAAGTAATTGCTTTATATTTCAGTATACTAAAAGAGTGCTTCAAATTAGTTTGAAAACGTTTTGTTTTTCGCCATGACAGAACACTGTCCCGTTTATTGCGTAGTCAGTTAATATGCTAAATAGTAAATTTCCTTTTGACGTCATCTTTTCTTTTCAAACAAACAGGCAAATTAATATCTAAAACTGAACTAAATTCATAGAAAGACCTAAGGGAAAACCAAAATAATTATAAGATTTACGGACTGTCAGTCTAGCTTATCAGGGAGTTTAAGCTACCACGACGGCGACGGCCACTAAAACGTCAGTAAAAAAGTGAATTTTCGGAAGAAGGAAAGAGGAGAGGAAAAAAGCTATTGAGGAACTGAGGAAGTCCCAACTAGTAAAATTTAAAATTTAGATATGAATACGAAATAGTAATAATTGGACAGCACACAACAACTACTGCACCGTAATTTTTAGGGAGTTATTATAACTCCAAAAATGGAGTAAAAATTTTAGGTACAGGATAACCCCTTTTCTGGGGTTATTTTAACTCCTAATTTAACTCCGAATTTGGGATCATTTTTACTCCTGAAAAAGAGTTCTTTTTACTCCCAGTCTTGGAGTTAAAATTACTCCGAAATGGGGTTACTTGTACTCCTTACAGGGGTTGTTTTTACTCTTTTTGGAGTTAATTTAACTCTGAAAGTGGAGTAAAAATTTTAGGTACAGGATAACTCCTTTTTTGGGGTTATTTTAACTCCTCAATATCTGGGGTCACTTTTACTCCTGAAAAAGAGTTCTTTAAACTCCTTTTTGGAGTTAAAATAACTCCACGAAAAATAACTCCACTGTAAGGAGTTAAATTAGCCCCACTAGAGGAGTTATTATAACTCCCTGAAAATTACAGTGTGAATAATACTTAAACTAACATTATATTATAGAGTTGTTTTACTTGAACCGTTAAACAGATGCTAACAATTATGTAGTGCAAATAGCGAGAGGTACAAAAAGAAGACAATAGAAATAGTGCATAATAGTGTGTTAAGTATTCTACTACCTATTTCACGGTTCAAGTAAAATCACTCTAAACTACAGAAGAAAATATATAAGACTTGAGCGGTGACAGAATTTAACAAAAGACTAATTTACTAGATAATCTGGAAAACATATCAACTAAAAGGTCCATTGTACCGACCTGAATTTGCCCATCAAACTTAACACAATAGTTCTTTTGTTCCAGGATTTTTTAAAAATCTCCGCTCTGCAGCACGTCTTTTATGCGTTTTCGGTGACCGTTATCACCGGCCTTACGTGTGGACGGTGGGCTAAACCAAGTCCTTGGGAGATAACTATATTGTTTTCCAACTGCATTTCTTGACGAAATCAAGTGCGACGTCACATAGTAACGGGCGAGAGCTTCTGGTCCCCCGTGCAAGGACTACAGTTATTCGAACGAGAGAGGTCGGGGAAAAGATGAAAAAAGCTAGGTAAATATTGCTATACATCGCTAATTTCATTTAAGTGTCAGGTTTTGGTCTTTTCTTTCCAGCTATAACAGTTTCGAGGCTGTCAAAACGCTTATAGAATACAATGCTGACCCCTCTATTGAAAACACCGACGGCGCAACACCACTTCACTTCGCAGCACGGCGAGGCTGTGTACCAAGCTCCAGGGTTCTGCTGAGTAATAAGTTATCGTCCGTTAACTGTCCAGATAACAGTGGAATGACACCTTTCCATCTCGCCTGTGTCAGCGGTAGTCTTAAGCTTTGTGAGATGTTTTTGGAACAAGAAGCAAATATATGCGCGCGCACATTAGAAGAAAAGAGCCCCCTACACCTGGCTGCTTTGCATGGAAATGAAAAGATCGTCGAGCTTTTGATAAGTCAAGGTTAGTTACTGCAGGTATTTTCATATTTTTTTTACTTTTAAATATAGTTCGTTGACTGGAAAGGTGGATTTGGCCAGGAGCCTATAAGAACGAATTGGGTTAAGACAGTCAGCCACACTTAACTGAGACGTGGAGGAGCGCGCACCGACTTTGTCTCCCGAGTGTCGAGCGCAGACTAATAAGTCAATTATTCGCTGTGGAGAGTCTTCCACCAAGTACCAGGGAAAGTCAAGAGATAACGCAGCCTTTGACTAAAAGCTATTCTCAGTTTAGATGACTGAGAGGTGGCGTGAGATCGTTCGCAAGTTCTCGGAAGGGGACATAAAAAAACTCAAACCGCTGTTGGAAGCCTTGCCATGGGCCTTGTCCAGGAGGGAAAAAATGCGCCGACGACGTAAAACATCAAAAAGACCAATCAGACAAAAAAAATTTTCAAATTTACCAGTTTTCATCGTCATTTTGCCAATGAATTTACCTCAGTTTCATCAATATCTGTAAATCAGTACTACTGAATTGAAGGATTAATTTAAATCTGTGCCGACAAAGCCAGGGTTTTATTCTGCATTGACAGTGATTTCAAAAGAAATTCTAGCTTTCGTAATGATATCAAGGATGTAAAATCGTGTTTTAACCTTATTCAAACTGACATTTTTTGGATTCTTGCTCTCTATAACTTGAAAACAGCTCATCCTACGGCCACCAGAATTACACACGATCAGTAATGTACTCATCCAAATTCTGGGTATAACTTGACTGACAATATGACGTAATCTGACGTCATTATGACGTCATGTTGTTGAATTTATTAGCAAAATCCAAATTTCCCTCAAAGTGGACAAAGAGCGAAAAAAGCGTAAATAGTAAGGTCTCTGATAAAATAAAGAAAGTTCGCTAACACATAAATGATCTTTAACAGTGGCAGAGATGTCATGATGACGTCATTTATTACTAAAAAAGGAACTGGAATCATCCGTCATCTTGAATCTTGGATCTTGGATTAAATGTGTTCCTTTTTACTTAAAACTCGTATACATGGAGGTATTTTTAACAGGAGTCTTAATCTGAATATAAAAGGATGCCTAGGAAGCACTGTTGAAAATTTGACTCGGCACAAGAGATCATTCTCTCTTTCTCAGCATCTGCCATTTGGTCATAATAAACTCATATTTTTTTCTCAAACTAGTCACTAAGAAGCCTGGATGTCATGAACAGTTATAATAACTTTGATAAAAGAATGCTAAATTAAGTGTAATATAATAATTCAATCAGTAAAAATAAAAATAAAACCTATACTTTGGAGAAAATGCAAATTTGGAAAAACATGGCTGTCAACGGTTGCCATGGTAACATCAATGTTGATGCGTCACGACGGCTTCAAAATGTCCCCAGATAAATTTTAGGAAAAGTCGCCAAGTTTGGCGGTCCTACCTTCAACGGTTTTGAAGTTATTCAATTTTTTAGCGAGGGGGGGAGGGGGTGGCCTCAAAAGCCCCCTGGTCTGAATAGGGTTGAAGTTGATATTATTGCACATGATTACTAATGTGGTCTAGTAGCAAACTCAAGTTACATTAATTTATGAGTATTTTATTCTTGTTTTCCTAGCTAATGATATATTTGGAATCCCACACCGGTACATCAACAAGCCCGACTTTGAAGGAAATACTCCTCTACACTTGGCCTGTCAAAAAGGTCACGTGGAAACGGCAAAATGTTTGTTAGGTTTTGGAGCTGACGTAATGGATGGGGAAAATCAGTGGGATATTCACTCACCCTTGCACCTTGCTGCTACTAATGGTCACATGACTGTGGTAGAATTGCTGGTTACCCATAATGCACCAGTGGACTGCAGAGACGAATTTCAGAGAACTCCTCTTCATAGGTGATGGATGTTTTTAGTGTTGTTATATCATCAGTTCAGTGCTCTAATGAACGAGCTTGCGAACTCTGTTTTTGTTATTATTTTTTAAGATTTTACTAGAAATTGCTTTTTTATGCACCCTCTCGTGCAAAAACATGCTAGAGTAGTACAGTATTGCGGTTTAAAGTTCTGAAGGTTTTTCGTAAGGGTAGTACTGAGTTTTTAATAGCTTAGTTGGTCGAGCTTTGGAGTGCTGAGCGGGAAGTCGTGAGATCGATCTTCGAGATCGGAATACTCAAGCTGGATCCTGTAATGGTCTTAAACTTCACACGACTCGGATAACTTTGGAAAAAAAGTGGTCCCGTCTCCAAAAATGCACGTATAAAACCAGCAATTTTTTTTATTGCTTAAAAGCACTTGATTCATTGGCTGTCAGTACTGGAGTTTTTTCTAAGCAACCAGCCTAAAGGAGTGAAAGAAAATCTACACTACGACCTCCGTTTACCGAGACTTGAAAATTGTTTACACCTTGCACAACTTATGACCGTGTTAATGTTCCTGGAAAGATTGGTTAAAGTAATGTTTATATTTGCTGAGATAAGTTTGTCATAACCTAAGAATTTGTCCTTAGATTTATGACATTACCATGGCAACAGGTGGGCCTAGTCCCATGCACGCCACATCATTTTTGTCAACTCATTCGATTCTATTATCTCGCCAAGTTTTTTGCTGTTTGATAAAATCTTTAAGAAAATATCCCACTATTTTATTTTAGATTAGGGTTAACTACCTCCTTAACGTGACAAAGACTGCAAAAAGATTGGAACAGTTATGTGAAGGTGCTTCATAGTCAAAGTATGGTGCTGTTGTTGATAATACACCCATGCAACCTCCTCCCCAGGGCTTTTTCCACTTTCAAATACGAGAGTAATTACACACTCAGTTAATTAATTACAGGTATAAGAAATCGGAAAAAAAACTTTCCTACCGCTAATAGCATAAAAGGCTAATCGAGGCGGGGGAAAGATGAAGACAAACTTAAGGTAAGGGAAGGAGATTGCTGCCTGGGATGGTGAGGAATATTAAACTTAACATGTTATCTTATTATTTGGTAGGGCTGCTGAGTTTGACCGTGACGATGTTGTGAAGTATTTACTAAAGATGGGTGCAGACATTAAGGCAAGAGATAGTGCTTACCGTACTGCTTTCCTTTGCGCCGTAAAACGAGGAAGGACGCGAACTGCAGAACTACTGCTGGAGTCTGGGGCTGACATGAAGTCGCGTGATGATTCTCTCCGGACCTGCATACACCTCGCTGTGCAGTACGAGCGAGAGGATACTTTACGCATGCTTCGTAACCGAGATCAGGATGAATTGATCAATGAGAAGGACAAGGACTTGGAAACTCCGTTACATTATGCAGCAAAAATAGGATCAAACAAAGTAAGGCCTGATGAGATGAACTTTAAAAGGTCAAATGAGGATCCCAGCGAGGTGATCTTTTCCTCGAAAGTCAGCATTAACCTTTCGTGCCTGAAGTTATTTACAACTTTCTAGCGTTACTTTGAAATCACTGAGGACTACGTCTTGAAGTTTCCCCGTGTTTCGTATCCAAGATAATGAATCCTTTCAATTGCTTATTTTCAATTGTTTCCTGCCTTGAACTATTCTCAATTCTTTTTTAAATTTTAATTATAGATTCTTCAGCTTCTTCTCGTGCAGAAATGCGCAGTGACTCGCAATGTATTTGAGAGGTCTCCTCTACATGAAGCCGCTGAAAAGGGTCACGTGAGCTGCGTAGAGGTGCTTTGCTCAACTTATCCCGGCCATATCAACGATAAAGACGAACGCGGGCTCACGGCCCTTCATCTAGCCGCGCGAGAACGATGCAGGTATACCGGCACTATACAATGAATTCTTAAACTGTGGAGAGAATGTAAGAAACCATGTAATGGCAGTTGTAGAGACGGCTTCGAACAAACAACCGGGTTAATAATTAAGCAAAGGAATCGGTTTGGGACATTTCTTGGCATTTCTCTACCACACTACCCTAGGCAAAACTCAGCTACCACGTACAAATGTTTAAATCTAAGAATTTACGAAGACATGTTAGTTACCCTGGTCCCAGCTGAGGCAGGGTAAGAAATATCTGCTTTATTTCTAGTTGCGCCTAAAGAGTCAGGAGTCTCCAGTTGAAAACCCGAACTTATTTAAAGCGGTTATGTCACTAGGATATTGCTGTATTACACCATACTTAAAATTCTCCGTTAGAGAAATGAAAAAGACGTCAAACAAATTTCATCACAGAGCACTAATAAGATAACATTTGTCTGGTGATTTTTGTAAGCATAGCATTAAACTTGAAAAAGTTGGCCCGATTTCTTCAAATTTCAATCCATGTCCATCTTTGCCATCCGAAGCAACAGACGAAAGAAAAGAGTTTCAATAAATACAGTCTTAAATAACAAACCTGAACCATCATTTTTGAAATTTAGCTGATGCGACGATACATTTTAACTTTTCAAAAAGATAACAAATAGCGTGATATAGCCTCTTTAAATCATACGATTCATTCTCTGAAAACGTTTTGTCGTGATCTTCTTGTTTTTCCTGTTTAACAGAGAAACATGTTCTGTACTTTTGCACATGGGTGCGCACATCATGATTCGAGATATCAACCGCTGGACACCACTTCACCATTCCGCGTTTGGAGGATGCGCCTTAAGCACTCGAGCATTGCTTGATCATCATTCGACTCAGCCAATGAAAGCAAAAGATGAAGACGGCAACACACCCTTACATATTGCCGCTGAGTGTGGTCACGTGAACATTGTAAAGATGATGCTGTCTCGTGGTGCTGATATCAGTGTGGTTAATAAAGAGAAGAAGACCTGTTTGGATGTAGCAATTGAAAGCGGCAAGGAGAAAGTTGCGGAGGTTTTCATAGGAAACCAAAAGTAAGTCAAATAGACGCCAACCCTCACAGCTTTAATTCTATGCTGTTTATTGTTGGATTGCTACTATGGATCTTTTCTTAAAACTACTGCAGTAAAGCAGGTGCACATATCGTCGTAATTCTGCTTATTATTTTTATTTTGTAATACAGTTTTCACAGAATGCCTGTTTTGTTTTAACCTCGCTTCCATGTTCTTTGGTCTCCCAGTCCAAGAGGGAGCGTAGGAAGAAAGATTGCATCCGGCATACCCAGATTGCATTGCTCTCTCTTCTTTTAAGGAATTAGTTTGCTTTATTTGTGTAACAAGCCACACAAATACTTGTTAGCGACTGAACTAGCTCTTTTTTTTTTTTTTTTTTTTTTTTTTGACGCCATCTCTGGTTTCCAAGCGAGGTAACGTCTGAGGTGACGAACGCAGAAATTCCATAGTGATGACGTTCCACATCTTGATAGTACTCTTAAAGGAGTTGTGTCACGAAATTCAGCCAAATTAGGAAATTGCAAAATACTCGTTAAATTAAGAGAAACATAAAAATAACCGCGTAAAACTTTAAAGGAAGGTTAAAATAACTTAACAGAATTAACAGATGCCACGGATGGGCAAAACTGAAAAAGACTGAAACGGATTGAAAATAGAGTTTTTGAAAACTGTTCAGCCTGTCTCGGATCTCTGATTTTGCCATTTACCTGTAATTTCTTTGCTTACTTTAAGTTCCATAGCGATTGAGGGCGAGTAATTGGCAAAATTAAACAACAAGACCTGGACTGCCATGACACAGCCCCTTTAATTGATCGTACCGCAGGGGAAATTTGCTTCGACCATTAAGAGATACTGGACCCAGATCTTGATAGTCACGTGATCATATTTCGGAGGCCTGAACAAGTGGTGGAGTCGCGAAATGTCGGCTGTTTTCTAAGGCTTTTCAACTAACAAAAACTTTTCTTCTCCGTATCTAGTTGGAAGGACATCCTTAAATGCAAAGGCAACAGTGAACCAAATCCCATGGCACAACTCATAAGGAAAATGCCTAAACTTGCTGAGGAAGTCATGAATAAATGCATTACCTACTCTGATCTGCCGCAAAGCGACCCTGAATACTCCGTGACCTTTGATTTCAGTCTCCTGACTAGCGATGAGGCCAGTGAGAATCAGGCAAGCAGAGGAAAATTCTTCTTTGGCCCTGCTACAATGGTTGAAGCTGAACGCGAAGACCTGCTTGTTCACCCTTTATGCCAGGCTCTTCTCCAGTGGAAGTGGGTTATCCTGGGAAAGCCAGTGTTCTGGTGTAACTTTCTCACCTACTTGGTCTTTGTTTGCCTCTTCACTGTTTTCACCTTGACTGAAAGAGCAAAACAGCACGTGTTTGATTCCTCTTCCAGCAATGCCACTAAAGAAGATAGCAAGATCTTCGAGAATAGAAACGCGTTTTCCACTGGGGTCCCTGTGCTGATTGCATTGTTCATTTGCATGCATATCGCGAAAGAAATTTACCAAATAACAGTGCAACATTGGAGGTATTTCACTCATTTCACGAATCTCACTGAATGGTGCTGCTACATCACAGCTCTTTGTTACGTTGCGCCTTTTTTAGTTGGGCGGAACATCTATGACTGGTCGCTCTGGCCACTTGCAACAGTAGTGATCCTTTTGTCGTACATCAGTCTTACTTTGTTCCTGAGAAGATTTTCATATTTCGGTATTTACATCTCGATGTTTATTGAAGTAGCCAAAACATTTCTTCGAGTCATATTTATATTCACGCCAATGATCCTTTCGTTCTCGCTGGCTTTTTTCCTTCTTCTCAAAGAACAGGTATGTTGCATAATATAATCAACAATTATTGAATGGGCCTGAGTATGATGTTAGGAATTATGCAGAATGAGGAGTACATTAACGGTCGAGGTGGATAAACGAACAGCCTCTGAGATCTGCATAATTCTTCACATCATACGAAAGCCGAATTCAATAATTGTCCTTTATTGTTCATATTCAAAATATTTCCTGGTTCTTAACAAAAACGTACCTACTCGTAGACTTTCTTAAAAGGTTGGCCTATCTCTCGGCATCGAGTAATATATATTTTGCATATTTTTGCATTTCTTCCTTTCAGGTGCGTGCGTTGCTTACGATTTTCTTTGTTATCAAACAAACTTACAAACGTTATCCATTTTTTTCTAAGGGTCCTTTCAACACTGTTTTGTGGTCTTTCGTGAAGACAGCTATAATGATGGTCGGCGAGATTGATTATACTGATATTATAGTTGAAGCCAAGGACCAGTTCAGTGACGAATCTGGAGCACCACTTGCCCCTATCCCAGAGTTCTCTGCGACCCTCGTGTTGTTGTTCTGTATAATGGTCTCCGTCCTTCTTATGAATCTGTTAGTGAGTGAACAAACTTGTTTTGCTAAATCTAATTTTTACCTTTCTAAGCCGAATACTTAGTGGAAACAACCGTGTCCTCTTGTTTGTACAACTGAAGCTAGAAGAGTCTGCATTTCTACACTAGGAGAGTACAAAGAGGGCTATTCTCGTAAGAGACTGTGTCATAAAGAAGTGAACAATTTTAAGGCGCAAGAACCGCAAGGGAATATTTGTTTTTCATCCGAAGCCCCATCTTACTGGAAGATTTTTAAACACAAAAGGCACGATACAATAATAAGGCACTGCTCCCCCCCCCCGCTTTTCCCGCCTTTCACAGCAAAATTAAAATGGTGGCCCAAAGGAAAAAGTGATTGCAAATTTTTCCGCATATTCCTCTCTAGCCTGCGTAGCAGGCGTTTCCGCGCGAGTTCGTCGAGAAAGTTAGCCGACTAGAGCAAAAAAAGAGAAATTTTTGCTCTCGCTCAAACTTTCACGTAATAGCTCGATCGGAAACGCTTGCTAGGCAGGCTAATTCAGCTCGGAATCTTGCATTTTCAAATCATCTTTTTTCATTCTTATATACACAAGCGTGTCAAAATTTTTACCCGATCCAAAAAAAGAAACGTCCCAAAGCAGTCTCGTTCCCAGGGCTTTTCTAAGAGAAAACGCCCTCATGTAACGAGGTTGGTCCCAAACACAGCACAGTACCACTGAAGTTCACAAATTTAAGGTTTTTGTTGTTTCCAAACTCTTCTCTTTTTAAACAGACCAGGAAAATTGAAAAATGGTGCTTTTCGCCATATAGCATGCTATTTTGTTTCCTTTTCTCTCAGTGCGATGTTAAGTCAGATGACTATTGCTATTTTAATTTAGGTGGGTTTGGCGGTCGGTGATATTGACAGTATCCAGCGTGATGCAAATATGACGCGTCTGGCCATGCAAGTTGAGTTTGTGACCGACATTGATCAACGATTTCCTCACTTCCTGAAAAAATATTTCCTTAAGTCAGTGCTGGTCATGAAGCCCAATCGAAGGAAGAAACTTCAGTAGTGAGTATTTTTAACATTTTAACATATGCCTCACGCAGCCGCAAACGAGTTTGGTTGCTCTTTCGAGACAGATACATAGTCCCTTGTTTATCGTGTGATCTCCAAATTCTAGAAACCTCGGATGAGTATAGTTACTTACTAGTTACTTGCAGTTGGAACCTCTAGTAAACGACCACCTCCTGCAAGCGACCGCGACCACTTTTTGGGCCTGAAGGCTTAATGATTTTCTATTGTTTTTAACATCTCTTAAGCGACCACTTGACGCATTCTCTGATCTCTATATGTTCTCTTTGTGCACTGTGCTACTTAGAATACCGTAAAATTCCGAAAATAAGCCCTGGAGTATATTTTTTAAAGGCCCTTTATGAGGGGCTTATTTTTGGAGCGGCCTATATTCGGAGGGGCTTATCTACGGAGGGAAATTTGCGTTTCAAAATCGATTAGGCTAGCCTTATAGTTAGAAGTAAATTTACCGGTTTTGCTTTGTTTTACTTTGTATTTGAGGGTAATTTTCCAAGTACTAGCCCCGAGGGGGGGAGGGGGGGGGGAGGGGGCTTATACATGGAGGGGATTACTTTCGGAATTTTACGGTATACGAAGAACTTTAGTAACAAAATGGAACTACACATGGCGTAACTTAGAAATTGCAGGCAATAAATTATCTTCCATAAAGTAAATGAGACCGAACCTTTTCTTGTTAGAGGCTCCCTGTGGCTCGACTCTTGTAAACGACCACCTCCCGTAAGCGACCACTAAGTCTTTAGATTTTGGGTGGTCGCTTACGGGTGGTTCGCCTGTATACTCTCTTCCCAGTTTTGGCTTATTATAACTAGATATCAAACCGGCCTCTCGAACTCTGCGATAAACCACTGACCACTGAAGGAGATGTTCGATTCTTGAAAAAAGACTTGACTGAATGACAGATAATGTTAAAATTAGATTGTCAGTTTGCCCGGATATCTGCAAAGTCGAATGTGGCTAGTTCCGGCCGGATCCCCGACTGGACCAATACTCATATTTGTTAAATCATGACTGGTAGAAAGGTTCTGTGGTCTGCCTCTGCTGAGCAGCTGACTAAACGACAAAAACTTCACCAAGTTTACGAGCGATCTGTTGATCTCCAGTTGGCGATGTAAATCGTTAAGATAGACGTGTTCACGATTGACTAGATTAACGGTGGATTTCCACTGTATTGTAATTTTTACGTACGTACATGCGTAAAATTTACGTTCGCAAATTAATAGAGGCAATGCATGAAAGATCGCGAGTGAAAGTAATGAGTAATGGTTGAACCTCGCTAAACTTCACGGTTAAGCGCAATACTTCATACCTTGTCTCTATGTTATTCACGCGAGTAAAATTTACGTACGCACGTAAAAATTAAGCGACAGTGGAAAACCACCCTAAAGCGTCTTCCTCTATGCATTGACTCTGTCAACAGATATTTCAGATCAAATGAAATCACAAATCACTGGTTTATTGCATCCTTTGCAGTCAGGTGACGGAATTGTAGGTTCAGTTCAACCATATACTAATATATACAGACAAATAACTTCTTAACAATATATTACGGTAACAAAGTTTGTATCCTGCAAAACGGGCGCTATTTTTTTGCGTTTTTCTGGCCTGCAAGAACATGCGTTATTTGTTCGCGCCTTTCCCCGTCGTGCGTGCTTCGCGCCCCTCGTCCGCTTCGTGCTCGCGTGAAAAATGCGGGAAAATAGCGCCAGTTCCGAGGCTACAACTTTTGGAACACGATTTGATAATTCATCCATTTTTAATCTTTATCCTCAAATGTCCGACGATTAAAACTACTTGTACTTTTTTTACACACAGCTTGTTTGGGATGGATAGTAATCTGTTTCGAAAACCAGACAGTTTTGTGGAGGAAAACAACGTTGATGACGCCAAAGAAGGTGAAAGCGAGGACAGCGAAGTGATAGCACAGGTTGCTAGGCAGCGTGATCAGATAAGGCTTCTTCAGAATGCTGTTGAAGATCAATCCAGAATCCTCCGAGAAATCTCGCACCAGTTAAAAAAAGCTGAGGCAGAGTGATTACCTCAGAATGCAGCTCAGGCTGGTTTAACTGTACAAAGATGCATAAAGGATTAAACGAAAATAACAGGCAAGAAATGATGCACGAGTGAGTGTTTTAAGTCAGTAGTGCATGATATGAGCGGAAGAGTGAATAAATTACATATTGAGTGAATTAATGAGTGAAAAAGAGTAAATAAACAAGACAGAAGTTGAGAAGCACACCAAAATGATGTCTGTATGCCTAGGCTATTTGGTAGTTCATGTTGCGTCTTAGGACGTGACTTCCCTCCTCCTATTACAATACGTAAACGTGTATGATTCTTACTGTCTAGTCCCTCAAAAGCTCATAGAATTTCGGTTCGGAAATTTTGACTTGGAATTGTTTTATTCAAGAGAGAAACTTGGAGCGAGGATCAGCTTTAAAACAGAGCAGCAAACTGATCCTTAAGGCGAAAAGAAATGTTGCCCAATTGTAAGCAAGACGCGGAACTTGCTCTTATTATCCTAACTCTAACTCTAATTGTTTAATCTGCAAAGGGTATATCCCATCACGGCAGATGAGCAAATGTGCATGCGCTTATGTTAAAATATAATCATTGTGCAAGTGTTAAGTAAATAAAAATAATGACAAAAAAAAAAGTTCCTGGGTCAGCGTTTCTAGAAGCCTCCACTGACTGCTTGTCAATTACACTATTTAGCAAAGAGTTCCACAAGTGTAAAGGGGCGGAATAGATATTGAAATTGTCTTTATCCACCCGACTGTTCAGAGTGGTTCATAAGCGCCAATGACCAAAGACTTTTCCTCCTTATTAGGATCGTCCTGAGATAAGCCTGAAATGTGGAAAGGAATTAACAAAGACCCAAACTCTACGCTATATATAGGATTTGGAAGAAAGTAAAACCATGTTTGAAAGATATTTGTATAGGTAATCAAACTCGGCTGAAGAACGAGTACATTCATTGATTAATTAATAGACTGTTCACAGTTCCCAATTTTCCCGTAAGATCATCGAGATCGAGCGCTTTGCGTTACGGGCTGCCACCTTGCATGAGTGTCAAAACTACTTTACATGTAAAGTAATCCCCGACGCCCGCCCCCACGGTGCATTTGAAAAATCAAGATGGCCGCCATTAATGGTAAGACGTGCTATATCTCGACCAGGGGCGGATCTAGGATTTTTTTAGGAGGGGGTGCACTCGTCTCTTGCTCTACTTCAACATCAATAAACCACATAGTTTTTTTTTTTTGGCAGAATACCAGTTGTATTAGAAAACCGCAGGTCATCTCAAGGGGGGGGGTGCGCACCCCCTGCACTCTCCCCCTAGATCCGCCCCTGTCGACGATCTCACGGAAAAATAGGGGACTGTGAACAGTCTAATTAATCAATTGCACGAGTGTTTCCCAAAAACGCCCGGGTTGTGAAACTACTTTTTTATCATTTAAGGCAAAATTATTAACTTTCTGACTGAAGGAAACAGTTTCATTGTTAGATGTCATGTGACCTCGAAGTAACCGACGAGAGGGCGCGCTGTTGGGAAAAAAATTTCCAGCTGTATAACAAAGTTGCTTGTTAACTGGCATACGCTGCTATTTTCGCTTTCTTGAAAGTGTAAAACAGATAACTTATGAAAATATTGCTCAGCTGAGTACCTAGGACAGATCCTTGGGGAATATCTTATATCAGCTTGCCGTTACTTGAGTGAATATTATCAACTACATATTGTACATAAAACAATTGGAAATTTGATAAACAGACTCCTCTGGTGAAGCCATATTGCCGTTCAAGATCTGAGGTTGCGTTCGATGGGAAATCCGGATTTAGATTTTGATATCCGGATTTCGGGATTTTGCAATCGAACGCGAAATCCGAAAACAGATTTCACCTCCGAGAAATCCCTCCTCAGGTTGGATTTCAATTGAGAAGTCCAAATCCGAATTTCGTGAATTTCCTTTTTACCGTTCGATTGGGAAATCCGAAAAAGGATTTACAAAACTGTTCTCGTGAACAGCGGTCTTCTTTTTGCTAATTATGCGTGCGCGTGCAATACCGCTGTTCTTAAGAACAGTTTTTCAAATCCTTTTGCGGATTTCCCAATCGAACGGTAAAAATGAAAATCCAAAAACAGATATCTCAGCGTTGAAATCCGTTTTCGGATTTCGCGTTCGATTGCAAATCCGAAATCCGGATTTTAAAATCTAAATCCAGATTTCCCAATCGAACACACTCTAATTCAAGGACCAGAAGATGGTAGGCCTGTGGGCATTCCTTTCACTAGCACTCGTTGTCATAGTAACAAGTTGGTCTTGAATTCACACCAAAATGGCGTCGCCCAGCGAAAGCCAGGAAAGCGGTGTTAATGAAGATTTGGACGGGGAAAATGTTGTTAAATTGGATGAACCTGTGGGAAATCTGTCTAAATACTACGCTTTACCGCCAGGCTTTTCAGGAACGCCGAAAAAGGGCCACTTAATGTTTGATGCATGCTTCGAAAGCGGAAATCTTGGCAGGGTTGACTATATCACTGAATTCGAATATGATTTGTTTATTCGTCCGGATACGTGCAACCCTCGCTTCCGTGTATGGTTTAACTTCACAGTCGAGAACACAGCACCGTATCAACGTGTGATATTCAATGTGGTAAATTTCAGCAAAACTAAAAGCTTATACCGCGAAGGAATGACTCCTTTGGTGAAATCTACCAGCCGCCCGAAATGGCAACGAATCCCTGCTAAGAACTGTTTTTATTACCGCTGCCCTGATCATAGGAAGAACTATGTATTGTCCTTTGCCTTTGCTTTCGATAATGAAACAGATGTCTATCAGTTTGCATACTGCTTCCCTTACACCTATTCTCGACTACAAGGTTTCCTGGAGGAGCTTGACAGGCGAAACTTAGAATGTTATAAACGGGAGTTGTTATGTTTGACGGTTCAGCAAAGGAGAGTTGATATGATTACCATCACTTCACCGGAGAATGTGAAGGATGCTGTAAAAAAGAGGGTCATTTTTTTAACAGCCAGGATCCACCCAGGTAGGAAATTAGCCTACTTTTGCTAGTCCTATTTTTTAAAAGTTTACACAACAAGTGAATGCTGTTTCGTTTAGCCTGCATAGCAGGTGTCGACAGGGGTAGGGGAGAAGAATGAAGGGAAAAAAGAGGGGGATTGGGGAGAAAGGGTAAGGAACGCCTGCTATAAGAACCCCCTTTTGTTCATTTCTGTGGACACCAGTGTCTGCAAATTCCTGATTGGCTGAGCTGTGATGAGTAATTTATTCGCGTGTATCCTGGCAGACAAACATGATGAAGGCATCAAGGAAATGTGTTCTACTGGTGTAAGCTTTGGAAGATCAAAATTACTCCAATCATGTAGCAACTTCACGTTAAAACAGAACTGGAACCAACTGTAATAGCTTGTTTAGCGGGTAGAGATGCTCAGGAGGTTTTGTATACTGGATTTGTCCAAACACTGTGTGGCAATTCAAAGCGATTGCAATTCTTGCCAGACACCTGCAATGCTGATATTCACAAGACCCCCTTTTCCACAAAAACATATACTGTCTTGAATGAACTTCTAAATGGTACCATTTGTAAAGAGAGAGCTGAAGCTTTAGTAAAAACTATCCATTGAGCTTTTTGATAATTGTTTATAATCCTCCTTTCACTTTTTGCATCTCAGGCTACCGGTGACTGTTCTATTTTTTGTGACCGTTCTGTTTGATGAGATAAGACCAAAGGTCTTGTGTATTCACATGAAACTGATCATTGTTTGTCGTAGACTGAGAGCGGTAAAAAAAGAGAGACTGCTCGTAGTCTATATGTTTGTCATGTTTGCTTCGGGAGCAAGAACAGTAAAGATGTTTTATTTTGCTCGATTATGATATCACTTGAAGAAAGCGTCTTGACTTGACAATTTCTGGTAAACAAAGTAATTAAGTTCAGACCATGCTGAGAAGCCCCCTACTTGTGATTGGTCACGTATTGACAGTTGACATTATCAGAAAATGGTGGGTGGAATACAAAAACACTGGTGCTTATAGCAGGTGCTCCCTTCCCTTTTCGCCTCTTTCGCACTTTTTCCCTTTTTGCACCTGCCACACAGCCTAGTTTCATTCGGTCTTGCGATTTTCGGTGGCATCTTAACCTGCGATCAGGCATTCCTTCTTCTCTTTTCCTTTTGGAGGCTGAGGCAAAAGGATGCCTGATACTTTACATGTTGTCTCTCCATAGTCCAGAATCTGGGCTTTTGTCTAATTGGTGGAAAGGCAAAAAAAAAAAAATAAAATCATCAACCGTTCAATAGATAAAGTCCAGAATCTGGGAAATGAAGGGTCTAAAGTAGATATGCAAAGATCTTGCCACAATTCAGTGCACTTTTTTATATGCGAGATATTCGGGGAAGTGATTGGACGCCATGTTGGTGTCCACCTGGATGGGTAACAACATGGTGGCTGCAAACCAAGAGTAACATTTGTTGCTGAGTTTTGCTCCTATAGATATTAAAGTGATACTTTTTCTTATACATGTACAGTGACTGTTCAGATAGTGATATCGCCCGAAACGTCACACAAAAGCTTAGAAATTCAATATTATACTCCATTGCAAAACATTAAGAACCCTTTCAAAGTGAAAATTCATTTAAATGTCAGTTTTCAGTTGCTCTAAGACTTTATGAATCAAGATAATCAAATCCTTAGTCTCCCTTCTTTTCATAAAATTTCCTTACCTGGATTATTTTATTCTTCAGTCAGTTTTAAAGAGACCGTACTTGCTACATTGCCTGAGGAATGGTCAGTTTGATTTTTGAACTTCTGAGTTCACTTGTTTTTGAAAGGCGTTGTAAAGTAATCAAATATTGTAATCAACATTTTGTTGTTTTTACTCTCTTACAACAGGTATCAGTAATTGACACTTAGACCAGCATAGAACTCTGATCATAATATTGTAACTTTACATGCCGTTTGTTGGGTACTTTAATTAACGGTGACCTGGTAGTTTTCATTGTGACCCACATTTAAGAAGAGAAACAAATAATTGAATGAAACATAACAAGGTTAAGTATCCCAACTGGCCGGAGACAATCCAGTTGGCTATTGACACGTGTAAAGGAAGAGTTGAACCCAGGACTTCCAAGAACAAATGCAGCTAGCGGTTAGGACGAGGATTAAACTCGAGGCACCCGGATTGCAATTCTAGGGTTCTGATCACTCCGCCATGCTGCCGAGCAGTTTATTAAAAAAATGATTCTATTTTCTTGGAGGATTTCTAAACTTTTTTCATATGATTCACTCTCTGCTGCAGCCGGGATCTTCGAAGCACTGTCACTGTCTAGGTCTTCCCCTTTCATACTCTTTCCTTATAACTTGTTGTTCAGCATCTTGACTTTTTTCAGGTGAAACTCCATCTTCATACGTTTGTCAAGGAGTGATTGACTTTCTAGTCAGTACCCACCCAGTTGCGAGAGTCCTACGAGATTATCTGGTTTTTAAAGTGGTACCAATGCTTAATCCAGATGGAGTTGTGCTTGGAAATTACCGATGCTCTTTGATGGGTTTTGATCTCAATCGCCATTGGCAAGAACCTTCACCATGGGCACATCCAACTCTGGTGGCTTGCAAGAACCGTTTAATGGAACTTGACGGCGATGAAAATGTCCATCTTGATTTTTACATTGACATTCACGCACATTCCACCATGATGAATGGATTTATGTATGGCAATATTTATGACGAGGAAGAGCGATTTGAGAGGCAGGCCGTGTATCCGAGACTTCTCTGTGCAAATGCTGAAGACTTTTCAATGTCAAATACGTCATTCAACAAGGATGCTGTGAAAGCTGGCACTGGACGCCGTTTTCTTGGAAGTTGCCTTGATCCGAAGACACACTGCTACACACTGGAGGTATCCTTCTTCAGCTACAACACAGCAGTTTCACAGGGAATGTCGCCTTACACAGAGGAAGGCTACTTTAAATTGGGACGTAACGTAGCCAGAACCTTCCTGGATTACTACAAACTGAATTCCTTGGTCCTTCCTATGAAGAAAAATGCATCAAAGTCGTCAGCTCAGAAAAGAGACCATCAGGTTGATAGCAAACAACGCTCATCTGGAAGAAGTGAGTATGATGGAAGGATATGAGAAGAAACACTTATGCCCAAAAGGGACTATTCAGGATTCACACTTTACTGCAGAATGAACGAACTTATTTGTCTATTTAGAAACTTTTTTGTTTCATTTTAGTTTTGGAAACTTTATCCGTTTATTCCCTAATAAATGTATGATCCATTTACGTCATTTCATTCTTAGTGGTTGTAAGTAAAGGATGTTTTTATTTAGTAGTTTGGCTTTTCGCACACGGGGAAACCTCAGTTCACAAGCGTGCCTTCTTGCTTCCTGTGATCTTGTAAACTTCCGTAATCAGTGAGTTTTTTATTGATATTGTGTGGACATGTATTCCCAGTGTACTTTTTTTTCTGTACGTCCCAGATGTTGAGCCAGGTCTGCACTACGTTAAAATAAACATTTTTAAAATGCTACACTGTTGTCGTCTTGCTTTCGAAAGTTTTTGTATTAAAAAATAGGGTTAAGGTCAAGATCTTTGCATGCAGTAAGTAGGCATTTATTTGCTCTGTAAAGTTACTTTTGGAACTCGCTTTTCTTCTTTGGAGCTTATTATTATGGAATGATCCGACGCGTACTTTGTAAATGGGCCATAGATTCCTCAGCTTACAGGACTCGAACGTGTTAAGTAAGTGGGTGTGTATACGTATCTACTGTCGAGGACTTCTTTCCGTTGTCTCTGTAATTAGATACTGCTTATATCTATTTTACAGCACCCTTCCCAAACATCAAAGTAGAAGGAAATAGCAAGTTCTCCAATGTATGAAATGTCTGATTTTTCTAACAAACGAATTGGTAAAAAAACCTGGCCGACTGAATCAAGTGGTCGTAATTCTTTCATGTCATACATGTAGAAAGCTGCTTTTTTCACTCAAAATCTGGCATGGGAGGCAATTCTTACCGGAGCACAACTTGACAAGGAAATGTCGGTGTAGCCATGATCTGATCGTTGTTAACGGAAATATACACAGGGGCACCTAACAACGGTTTCCTCGTAAACACATTGAAAACAGTTATTAGGCTATCCAGTGTACTGTTAGATCTCTAGAAATGGCTTTCCAACCGGCGCTAAAAAATTTGTACCTGTTCGGTCATCCTATGGGAACTTGAGTCTTTTCGAAATTACGAGGGCTTCAGTACTCTTTTCCCTAAAATTTTAGGTGAAATTTAACGTATTACGAAAGTGAGAATTTTTCTGATTCCTCCCTCCATCACATTTTTTAATCCGAAAATTTGAAATTTCCTTTTTTGTACAATAAATAGCCTAAACTGGGCAGTGGAATGTGACAAATTAGTTTCAGAAATTCGTATAGGGAATTTATCAGATAAGGTTTGAATTGTACGTGAATGGAACGTTCATCCAGAAGTTTTATTTTTAGTCTTCCTCAAGAAATAGAAAAGTTCAGGCAATATTTGCTTCTCTGAACAGATATTTTACAGAAAACAGTCGCTGGGTGCCCCTGATATTCAGCAGTTTGGCATGACTGGGATGGCTTTCAGAGGTCTCTGTCATGTTAGCGGTCTCTTGTTAAATTGCGAGTGACAAGATTGAGAACGTTACAACTGTAAAGTCTGAATCACGGCTCTATCGCCATGGCTCGATTAGCTACACACAGCTGTTTTCTTTTGCTGGTTGCCGGATATCGGACTGAGAATTCCCGGAAACCTCCCATGTGAAATGTAAGGGGCTTCCCCTCGGAATCTTGGATTAAACCTCTAAGGGAGACTAAGCTGGGTGTGCCTCAGCTTACAATTAAAACTGACAGCTGAATAATAGCTATGGTAATTTCAACGGCGATAAAGAGGACGTCATTGAATGCTTTCGTATCTCTTCTTTCCGTCTTCTATTTTCCTTGATTCTTGACACACATTCTGGCTATGATACCTGTTTGTTAAAATTCGTCCTGATCATTAGACTCTAAAGGTTGAATATGCGATTTACAATCCAAAACCGAGACGACCATCTTTCCCACCCCTCCATATCGAAGTCCTCCCACTAGAGACTTCAAACACTCACTTTTAGAACAACTTTTGGGCCTAACTTGGCCTGGATTGCTGAAAGAAGCTTGTTTCATGTCGTTTTCCCGGTCATTTTTTCAAATTTTCGTATACCCATCCCATCCGCTCGCTTTTCATGAAGGTGTCTTATAGCCAGTGTGCTGTTTTTGAATGAGAAACCGGAAGGGTTGGCTTGATGCAATGATTCGAAATCCTTTTCTGTAAATGTTCCTGACATTTTTTAAACTCCCGATCAATTATCAGGAATTAATACAATTATTACAGTATCTAAAAGTACGTGGATATACCAACGCAACCCAAGTTTCAACCGAATTAATGGCATGAAATACTTGACGGAAACGACCTGAAAAGATAACAAAAGAGCTGGCGGACAGGCATTTGAGGTATCCTTGTCCAAGAGATCGTCGCCTTTCGTGCCCTATCCTGTGGTGAAAGCCAAATAAGGCAAATATCATGAGTTTCAATAAAATGAAATGAATTGCCTGAAGTCTCTCTACCTTTCCATGATCAGGTTACCTTCTCGCGCGCGCGTCAGTTTTCCCCCGGTCAGTCCCGAAGCTTGTAAAGTGAACAAACCCTCTCTCCCCTCTCCCATCCCCCGCCAGAAAAATCGTAAAGTTGGCTTAGTTGCAAAGGTTAAATCTCGCACGGTTAAACTCATTATAGGTTCCAGCCGGAGCCATAGAAAGAAATGTTCCCTCACCAATTATAATTACCGTAGGAAGCAAATGACACCCGACACTATAATCTGACGAAGGACTTTTTTGAAAGTCTAGGTAAAAGGCGCAAAAAAAAAAAAAAAAAAACAAATCGGCGAGCGAGGCGATCCGGTTGGTAGTCTGCGGAGGGGAAATGATGGCGGAAGGTCCGCTGCCCTTTCGGCCCCCCAGCATACCTCTCGGCTGGCTTCGCTCACCGATTTTTTATGCCGTCTCACTCCTAGCCTGTGCCAGGCTCTCAGATAGTATAGTGAGGACGTATTAAAACGAGCAAAGCGAAAATAAGACGCGCGCGACTTGGACGCGCAACTTTTGACCACTATCTTGGAGCCTGGAACAGGCTATCTCATCCGTTTTTTGCCATTTTTTTCCCCACAGCGGAGCCTCAGTCCCATGCTATATAGCTGTTGGAGTCTTGGCAGACGCAAGAGCAATCAAAGGGCGGTTTTTAATGTCATATAAAGTGACAAATTATTTTTGTAACCAAATCATCAAAGAATACACTCCCATCATCATCATGATGAATCCAAAACTGCGGTTTGACCGCAAAAGGCAATCATTTAAGTGCCAGCACGATCTCTCCTTGAACTTAGTTTAAAACGCACGTATTTCAGTTTATAGTGACGGAGAGGGCGAAAAGTAATACGTTGGGAAGGAGGGCACGTTTTCAAACGGCTCCTCGGCGAGAGGAAACTGTACTGAATTACTTTATTTTTTTAGCAAAGGGACACAGGTTAGCATATATGGTTTGAGGAAAGAGGTTCGCTACTCTGCTTGTCTGTCAGACTGACCTATTCGATTGCCCCCTCCGACGTCACATACCAAAATCTAGCACGTCTGTTACAAATAATTCACGTAAACAGAATTCCCTCGAATTGAAATATTCACTGATGACTCATCAGCAATAAATAACTTAGGTTTTGTGAATTCCTGACCACACACAAACAGACAATTAACATTGGATTTTACATAGAAACTGACCACAAAATAACTTCAGAAAGTTTTTTACTTCAGTAGGCAAGTAACGACTACAACGACGCGAGTGATAAAGAAAAGCAGATTCACCCCTGCATTTGGAATAATTCAACATCCACTTCAGTAGAAATTCCTGTTTTTTCGTCCATTGGCCTCACCGATTTTGTTTGAAGGGAGGGGCAGCAGTATACACAGGCTATTGTCCATTCCCAAGCTTGCGATGAAACTGGTGCCTGTAGTCTGTTGATGATTGGAATATTGCGTGTAACTGCAACTTACTGTTCGCCCACGAGAATTGTCTCGACAATCGGTGGTCCCGGAATTAATACTGATAATATTTGGGTATATATCAAGTTGGCCGACGTCGAACTGACCCTCCCGAAGTTATTACTAAACAACAGTTAGAGTCTGCTAAGTTTATTCCTACGTATTTTTGTACAAAATGTCCCTATATGATCACTAAATTTGCACAAAATGAGGCCGCAAGATCTTCTTTTTTGTTCTTATTGTACTCTCTTTTTAGTTATATTATAAATATCATAATAAATTAGAACAATCAAATTTTTGAATTATTATCATACCCGCCCAAAAAATAGGCATCTCCTCTTTACAATACCACTGCCGTATATGTACATCAGTTATAGTTTTTTTTATCATCAGACATCCTAGATCAGTTGTCAATAATGTGGTTCCCCTTATAAGACGAGAAACGCGTTGACGTATGTGAGACATGATGGCTGACAAAGAGTAATACAGTCACATTCCCATCTCTTTGAATCTGTTATTTATGATCAGCGTCTTTCGGAGTTCAAAAAGAGAAACGCCGTTGTTTCCTTCTATGTTTCTCTCAAGCTCTCTACAAATCGCCATTCGTCTTGTCGTATAGCTACGACTTCTTGAGGCTCTTTCACGTAAAACTGTATCAAAATGGCGGTCGAGTTCATCCTCACGTTCGACACTCAGTTCGTTATCAATTGAGCATTTTCGCCTCGAACAAAAACGCACTTTTTTCTGGGCGCGTTTGAGTTCGTCCTCGCCGATAGACAACCTGTCTAAACGAGTCAAGCTAGCATAAGGGACATGATCTTTTTCTTCTTTGTGCTTGCAAAACACCTTGGTAACACAGTGTCTGAATCGTTTCCACGTGTTGTCAATGAAAAGCGTTCTTGCTTGTTGTACTCGGTGTCTGGTATGCCCGGCCCTGTAATTGCTCTCTAAAGACTTGAAATTCTTCTGGCGGTAAATATTTTCTCCGCATCCCAGTACATATGTACCTTTTCTACTGATATGCATGTTTTGACGTTGTTTAGAGTATATCGCCGCTTGACTTCTTCCTCTCTACCAAAATACCTCAGTGAATGTTGTCTCCGTGCTTTATAGCCGTTTTAAAATGGAGTGTTTTATATAATGGCGGAGATATTAACAGGTAATCATTTACAACTTCCTTTTTACATGCAAAAGATTCATGTCATTTGGCTAGAGCTATTTAGGGACAACAGGAAACTCCTGGGGCAAAGCCAATTAGCACCCCGCCCCTAAAGCAAATGTTGAAATTAGTACCAGAATGTACAAAATCTCAGTTTCATAAGGGCTTGATAGAGAAAACGAATCATTTCAAATGAAGATCTACACTCGATTTTCGCTCCATTAAATGAAGCTTTTAGAACTTTACT